GAGGTGGAGGGGGGAGTGTATTATTCATCAGCCCTTTCAAAGCAGTACAATCAGATATGACTCGCGCCTTCTGGAGCTTCGCCTCGGCCCAAGACGCCACAGAGGGCAACAGGGGCCAGGGGTTTGTCATGAAGAAAAGGACAAAGGAATAAAGTTCAGATCCAAAGAGAACGTGTCAAGTAGAAATAACAGACTTTAAGCAGCGCTTACTGCCTGCGCGCAGGATGTTTTAAGACTCGCTCAGTGAATCCTCCTTGTTTTTCAGGCAAGAAAACCAAGGTACAGAGAGGTTAAGTGCCTGATCTATGGTCACACAGCAGGAAAGAGGCAAAGACAGGATTCCAACCCTGCTCAGCCCATCATGGGAGCCCCCAGTATCATCTATTTAAATGGAGGTGAAAGTGACGTAACATGAAATTAACTGTGTTGAAATGAACAACTCCGTAGCATAGATAGGATACTCACAATGTTATGTAAGCACCACGCCTGCCCAAAACCTTTTCATCCCCCCAAAGGGGTACCCAGTAGTGATTCCTCCCCATTCCGTCCTCCTCGCAGCCCCTGGCAAAGTCTGGTTTCTGTCTCTATGGACATGCTTATTTTGGGTATTTCAGATCAACGGAATCCTATAATATGTGACCTTTCGGGTCTGGCTTCTTTCACTCAGTGTAATGTTTTCAAGGTTCAACCACACTGTAACGTGTATCCGAACCCCATTCCTTTTTATGCCTGAATAATATTCCATTGTGCGGGGCTACCACGTGTTGTCTATCCGTACATCTACTCATGGGCTATTTCTGCCACTTGGTTGATTTGAGTAGTGCTATCGACATACACGTACATGTAGCACTAAAACGGTTAATTTTATGTATATGAATTTTACCCCAATATTTTTAAAAAATGAATGCCAGGCTCCTGGGTGGCTCAGTGGGTTAAGCATCCAACCTTGGCCCAGGTCATGATCTCACGGTTCATGAGTTTGAGCCCCGCATCGGGCTCTGTGTTGACAGCTCAGAGCCTGGAGCCGGCTTCGGATTCTGTGTGTCTCTCTCTCTGTTCTTCCCCCGCTCATGCTCTGTCTCTCCCTTTCTCTCTCTCAAAATAAATAAGTAAGCTTGAGAAAAAGAAAAAGAAAATAGGGGTGCCTGGGTGGCTCAGTCGGTTAAGGGACCAACTTCATCCAGGTCATGAACTTGAGGTGGACGAGTTCGAGCCCTGCGTCGGGCTCTGTGCTGACAGCTTGGAGCCTGGAGCCTGCTTCGGATTCTGTGTCTCCCTCTCTCTCTGTTCCTCCCGTGCTCCTGCTCTTTCTCTCTCTCTCTCAAAAATAAAAATTAAATTTAAAAAATTAAAATAAATAAATAAATATGGAAAAAGGAGCACTATCAGCTGAGAGGATCTAGAAGCGATGCTATACCTCTCTGACCCCCACCCCCGTTAGTGATGGGCACACCCAGTGCCCAGATCTGGACTTTCCATTGCCATTCTCCAATCAAAGGGAATCCAGACTCCTTAGGAAAGTGGCTGATTCGAGGACTGAGGCAGGGAAGGACAAGGCAAGCTCTGAATTTCTTGGGGTGCCGGAAAATAAGAAGCGCTGAAAACCAAAAATACGGAGTCGCGGCAAATGGTGGGAGCCTGAAATAAGATGCTCAGAGCAGGAGCCAACGGAAAGGGCTCCTAATGGCCGCAGCTGGAAAAGTTCGCTCAACAAAATAAATAACAATAGTATCGGATTACAACCCAAAGACTAAAATAACTGTTCACGAGTCCATAATGGTATAAATAAATGATTGAATAAACAAATCACTGGAGACCGAACAACTCTTCCTTCCAGGATTCCGAATAATAAATAATAGTGGATGTGGAAGGCATGAGGGAAATGGAAAATCACTAATAAACAAACACCACGCAATACTTCTATTCACACAATCTCCCCGAGATGCTAAAACGAGTGGGTCAACTGGGAAACAAGATGTTCGCATAGCCTCCAAGTGTTTCATCCAAAGCATATCTCAGCTATGGTACGTTTAACATATGTCCACAAATTCTTCCAGATTCTCCCTTCCCAAAAGGTGGAACATAATTCCTCTGTCTTGGGGCGAGGCTGGACGTGGTGTTTCTGGACCTGAGTTGTAATTACAAAGTATATTCGGTGTATGAAAATTCTTCCCGGTGTCCACGTGCAAGCTGTGCACGCTTCCTCAGGTGTATCATACTTTGATCGAAAGTTCAACTGATGGGGCTCCTGGGTGGCTCAGTTGGTTGAGCATCAGACTTTTGGTTTTGGCTCAGGTTATGATCCCAGGGTCATGGGGGCGAGCCCCGTGCCGGGCTCTGTGTTGAGCATAAAGCTTGCTTGAGATTCTCTCACTCCCTCTGCCCCTCTCCCCACCTCCTGTTCTCTCTCCCTCTAAAACAAATAATAATAACAATAAAGAATGAAAGGGGGCCTGGGTGGCTCGGTTGGTTAAGCGTCAGACTTCGGCTCAGGTCATGGTCTCACGGTTTGTGGGTTCGAGCCCTGCGTCGGGCTCTGTGCTGACAGCTCAGCGCCTGGAGCCTGCTTCAGATTCTGTGTCTCCCTCTCTCTCTGGCCCTCCCCTACTCAGAAATAAATAAAAAACATAAAAAATTAAAAAAAAAAAAGAATGAAAGAGGAACGAAAAAGGAAGGAAGGAAACAAAGATCTGCCCCAGAGATGCACATGTTAGTGTTAAAAGCAAAGCAGTGACAAGTAGAGCTACCTCCAGGGGGTGGGAGGGCCGGTGACAGAGAGGATATGCAGCGGGGGACGTCTTTGCTGCTGGCACAGTCCCATTTCCTGACCTGAGCAATAATAACATGGGTGTCTTGTTTATGATTCTTACATCTGCACATTAGGGTGGAGTCAGCTGACACTCGCTTGTGAGAACTGATGGCTGACTCTTCAGGAACTCTGCTGACCATGATGACGTCACGGTGGTACCTTGAAATTGGCCAGAAACCAACAACTGCTATAAACCAGGGCCCTTTTTTCTTTCTTTCTTTCTTTTTCTTGTCTTTCTTCTGGAGAACTCATTGGTAAATGCTTCCCAGCACATCCCAGCTTCTTGGTGTATATTATAGTAAATGTTTTAAAATTATTTTTTAATGGTGGTAAAATACACACAAAATTTATCATCTTCACCACTTTTTAAAAAACGTTTTATTTATTTTTGAGAGAGAGAGAGACAGCGTAAGCAGGGGAGGGTCAGAGAGAGAAGGAGATACAGAATCTGAAGCAGGGTCCAGGCTCTGAGCTGTCAGCACAGAGCCTAATGGGGGGCTTGAACCACAAACTGTGAGATCATGACCTGAGCTGAAGTCGGATGCTTAGCCAACTGAGCCACCCAGGCGCCCCTCATCTTCACCACTTTTAAGTGTCCAGTTCGGGGGCACCCGGGTGGCTCAGTCAGTTAAGTGTCCGACTTTGGCTCAGGTTATGATCTCACGATTCGTGGGTTCGAGCCCCGCGTCAGGCTCTGTGCTGACAGCTAGCTCAGAGCCTGGAGTCTGCTTCAGATTCTGTGTCTCCCTCTCTCTCTGACCCTCCCCTGCTCATGCTGCCTCTCTCTCTCTCAGAAATAAATAAAAACTTAAAAAAAATTTTTTTAAAGCGTCCAGTTCGGTGGCATTAAGTACCTCCAGAACTCTTTTCACCTCGCAAAACTGAAACCCTAGACCCATAATACATATATGTATTTATAACAATTTTTTTAAACATTTTTTTTTATTAGAGAAACAGAGAGACAGAGCATGAGCAGGGGAGGGACAGAGAGAACGGGAAACACAGAATCTGAAGCAGACTCCAGGCTCTGAGCTGTCGGTACAGAGCAGGACCTGGGGCTCAAACCCACAAACCACAGATCATGACCTGAGCTGAAGTCAGAAACTTAAGTGACTGAGCCACCCAGGCGCCCCTCCATAAGATACTTTTTATAATCTGTAAGATTGTCCCTTGGAGAACATGAATTCTGGAGTCAGGTGGCTCTGTTTGAATCCCCATCCCCGCCCCCACTTACTAGCCAAGCTTGGGCAGCTTCTGTCACCAATCTGTGCCTCAGTTTCCTTATCTGTAACATGGGGATAATCTTAGTCCTAATCTCATAGTCCAGTGGGTCTTAATAGTGCGGTTCTGGGGCGCCTGGGTGGTTCAGTGGGTTAAGCGGCCGTCTCTTGAGTTGGCTCAGATCATGCTCTCACGTTCGTGAGTTTGAGCCCCAGCCTCGGACTCTGTGGCCCCAGCGAGGAGCTTGCTACAGATCCTCCGTCTCCCTCTCTCTGCCCCTCCCGACCCCCTTTCTCAAAAATAAATAAGTGTTAAAAAAAAAATTCAAAGTGCAGTGTCTGAGGCAATGCAGCAACAGCACCGCCCGGAAATTTGTTGCAAATGCAGATTCTCAGATGCTCTGTAAATAGGGCCTGGGAATCCTTGTTTTAACGAGCCCTCCAGGACATACTGAGGCTTGCTCAAATTTGAGAACCATTATCATAGGTCACTGGGAGAAGTAAACAGATATAAAATACTTAGAGCAGTGCCTGGCCTTGAAGCCCATACTAGGAAGCGGAAGCGTTCATTACCATTGTTGTTATTATTACAGAGGCCCAGCCCTGGGGGGGGAGAGGGGGGGATGGTATCTGGCCATGCCCTCTCTTCAGGTCTGGTGGGGTCTGGGTTCCTGGTCTCTGCTGAAAGGAGACCTTCTCGCCCTGCTCTGATGAAGATGACAGTGAGCTGGACCACGTCACCCCGTCCCTGGTTAAATGTTATCACTTGGTCCTGGAAACAGGAAAGGTCGGGGTGGGGGGGGCATGCCCGCCTCTCCTCTGCTGGAGGAGATAAAGGAGGTCACTTGCCTTCTCCACAACAGGTGGGGGGGGCCAGGGTGTATAAATGGGGGGCCAGGAGGCAGCAGAGACACAGGTTCCCACGGACGTGGCCTTGCTGTTCCCCAGCACCCGCCGTGTTCCTGTCCAACATGGCCAAGCGCTCGCTGCTGCTGCTGCTCCTAGCCGTGTGGGTGCTGGCTGGGGAGCTGGGGCTGAGCACGGAGGCCCGGGCGGCACCCTACGGAGTGAAGCTTTGCGGTCGAGAATTCATCCGGGCGGTCATCTTCACCTGCGGGGGCTCCCGATGGAGACGGACAGACATCCTGGCCCACGAAGCTACGGGTGAGGCCGGGGAGGTAGCGGGGAGGGGAGGGGTGGACACTGGAGGGGACGTGGGATGGTCCAAGGAGCCAGGGATGGAGATGAGCTGAAGGGCCGGGGCAGGGGGTCTCTGCCAAGGCAGGCGGGGGGGGGGGTGCAGTTAGCAGAGCTCTGGAGCTGGGATAGAGCCAGAGAGGAGCACCTGCTGTGTCTGAGCCTGCCTCAGGGATGGGGGGTCGGGTGGGAGGTGGGACGCCATCGAGAAACAGACACTGAGGTGCTTTCCAGGCCTCTGAGGAAGGTAGTGTGAGGGCTGCGGTGTATACAAGGCCACATCCGGCCACCGAGCAGGTGACCTTCCTAGCAAGTCGCTGACCCTCTCCGAGCCTCCTTATCCGCAAATGGGAGGCACAGTCCCTGAACCACCCAGGATGGCTACGTGGCAACGTTGAGCCAAAAGAGATTAGGACACTGGGCAGGGGGCTCGGTGTGGGCTCAAGCAGGGGGCGCGGGGCCTGGTTTCATGAAGGGCCGGAGCCTGGCAAAAAATAAGAAGTTTTCATGATGCTGCTGATGACATGAAGGCAGACTTGGAAGACACACTAACTGGGTTCAAGTAGGAGATGGACAGCTTAACAGCTGTGTGTTCTTGTCCACGTTGGTTTAGGAAATCGTGCCTCAGTGTTCTCTTCTGGAAAATGGGGATGATAATAGCTGCATTCATCCTATGGGGTAGTCACTGTGAGGAATAAAGGAGTTAATCCACTACATCCTTTAAAACAGTGTTTGGGAAGGGCGCCTGGATGGCTCAGTCTGTTAAGTGTCTGACTTCGGCTCAGGTCGTGATCTCAGAGCTTGTGAGTTCGAGCCCCACATCAGGTTCTCTGTTGTCGGTGCAGAGCCTGCTTTGGATGCTCTGTCTTTCTCTCTGCCCTTCCCCTGCGTTCTCTCTCTCTCTCATTCTCTCTAAAAAATAAACATTAAAAAAACCACAGTGTTTGGCACACGGTAAGTAACTGGTGAGTGCTTATCATATGCCACACTCTGTTCTAGGCTTTTCTATGGGTATTAATTCCGTCATCTACTCCGTATCAAACCCTAGAAGGTAGGGATTATTATTGTCCCCACTTTGCAGACAAAGAAACTAAGAGTCTGGAGAAGTAAATTCATTTGCACCAGATCACAACCCCGAGAGGCTGGATTGGTGCTTCGTCAGTTCAGCTCCCAAACACATGTCCTTAACCATCAGGTCCTCCGTAAATAAAGAGTAGGAAAACAGAAATGATGAGAGAGGAAAGTCGAGCTCTGTGAGGTTGACTAATCTGCCTATCAAAGCTGGAAGTGAGGCCCGAAAGGAATACAACTTTGGACCATGAAGCTGCATCCCAAGAATAGAAGTAGCTGAGCCAGACTCTGCGTGTGACAGAAGCAGAGTCCCGCGCACTAACTCTTCTCACCTTTCACCTCCCCAGACCCAGACTCTGACACAGACAGTGAGCTGGATGAAGCAGTAGCCTCCAGCGCGTGGCTGGCCCTGACCAAGGACCCCCGGGCTTTCTACGCAGACCGACCCGGCTGGCAGGGAACTCCAGGGGCTCTGCGTGGTGGCCGTGATGTCCTGGATGGTCTCTCCAGCAATTGCTGCAAGTGGGGGTGCAGTAAGAGTGAACTCAGCAGCCTCTGCTAGACCAGTGACTGGGCGGCCATGGGCCCAGGGGGCAGCTGGGCACCTGTCTCTGGCCCCTCATGCATGCATCCATCAGGAAGTCAGGGGCGTGCACTTGGATGTGGTTCCCCCCCCCCCCAAATGACCCTGACCTTTGACCAGCCACTCTTAAACCTAGGCAAACTTCCCCTACCTGGCCAAATGGGAACCTCTGACCCTGACCCTGACCCCTGACCTCTCCTTAGGTCGTATCATGCCTTTGCCTGGCCTATACGGTTCCCTGCTGCAGCGGCACCCCTATTCTACCCAAACCAGCCACATGGGGACCTTGGCCCAAACTTGTGATTCTCCCTTGCCCCACCTGTGGCCACTTCCAAATTAAGCCCCTGCTCCATTCCAGCCTCTGCTCATTGCCTTCTCCTGGCCTTCCAGCCCCTCCCCCTCCAATCCCACGAGCCGGGGTTCTAAAGCTGTGGACCCCAGAATAATGGCGGGCCCCCTACACCCATCCTGGGGTGGGAGGCTCGGTCGGTGGGGGAACGGATCGGAACCTTCTTCGACCCCAATAATAAAAGTTCCAAAGAACTTTGCGGCGTGTGTGCTGTTGGTGGGGGTGGGGTGGGAGGCGGGGAGGGCACAGGTTTCAGCGGAGCTCGCGAGGCGCTCAGCACCCCGCCAGGCGCCCCAGGCCGTTCCCCCGCCCTCTCGGCAGCCCCAGCCCTGCGCCGCCGGGGACTTTCCGGCACGGGGAAGGGGCGGGGACCCGGAGCTCAAGGTGCGGAGGCGGCGGGGCGGAGAGGGACGCTTCCCGAGGCCGCCTGGGTGCCGGACCCAGAGAGCGAGGCGAGCGGCGCAGGGCCGGGCAGGGCCGGGCAGGGCCCGCCAGGACTCGCGGCGCGGTAGGGGGAGCGCCATGCGAGGGGCCCGGGCCGCTCCCTTCCGGCCGCGGCCGGAGCTGGTGCTGCTGCCTCTGTTGTCGCTGCTGTGTGACCGGGGTCGGCCGCAGGGTGAGTTCTGGAGCGAGCTCGTGCCGGGCGCTCCGGCGCCGCGCTCACCACGAGAGCGCAGAGCCTCCCGGCGCCGCGCAGGTTGGCGGCTTGACCGTCGGGGTGCAGACGTCCGTCTGCACCTCCCGGGCAGGGGGGAGCGCGCCGAGAGAGCAGTTGGGGGGCGGGGGGCGGCAGCGAGGTGGGAGCCTGAGGCCCGGGGGTGGGGTGGAGGCGCTTGGCGGTGGGAACAGGATGTGGCTGGTAGAGGGAGGGGAGGAGTTGTGCCCAAAGCCTGGGGTGGGGTATCCTGCCCCCCACTTCCTACTGCTCACCTCCGGCAGGGACCCTGGGTCGCCCGCCCCAGTTGGCAGAAGTCGGGGGAAGTTCAGGTTCTGGGATGTGCAGGCGGCTGGGAGAATTGACCTCGTTCCCTGGGACCCTTCCCCCCCACCCCCCCTCCAGGCAGCCCTGGGCCACTACAGTGCTATGGAGTTGGACCCTTGGGCGACTTGAACTGCTCGTGGGGACCTCTTGGGGACCTGCGAGCCCCCTCCACGCTACACTTCCAGAGCCAGAAGTAGTGAGTACAACCCGCTGACTTGGGGAAACTGAGGCTCCGGACAGGTACAACCGGCTGGCTTGGGGAAACTGAGGCTTTTTGGCCACTCAGGTCCCAGAATACTCAGCTGAGAAGACCTCGCGCCCCTCCCCCACTCTCCAGCCCCTGGATTCCAGGTTCTGCATTTCCTTGCTGTGTGACCCTAAGGCAGTCACTTTCCCTCCCTGAGCCTCTCTTCTCCCTTGTGAAATGGCGATAATCCAGGAACCTGCCTCCCAGCGTTGGTTCTGAGGATTCAACGGGGCACCGGCCAAGAGAAATTGCTTAATAACTAGAAGCTGTTCTTTATTGCTGTGTGACCTTAGGCAAGTAGCTTAACTTCTCTAGTGTATAAAAAGAATTTGGCCTGGTGCTGGGGACGCAGCAATGAAAGAGGCACACAGACAGCCTGGACCTCGTGCAACTCACAGTTCAAGGGGGAGACCTCGGTGGCTTCATGATGAATCATACCTGAATCAAACTCAAATTCATTTCAAGTTTGGCTTTAGTGAGGGAAGGGGCATTGAAAGGTGGGAACCACTAGTGGTGGTGATGGGGGGCTGTTTTTTTTTTTAACAATGGTAAAATATTCGTATAAAATATGCCATCTGTTTTTCTCAACCATCTTTAAGGTAAGGATTCAATGGCATTAAGTACATTCACATCATTGTGCCGCTGTCCCCCCTGTTCCTTTCCAGGGGGCCTAGTTTTAATTGGTATAAGAAGGGGCAGTCAGAGAAGCCTCCCCCCACCCCCCGTTTTTTAAGGTGAAATTCACATAACATAAAGTTAACCATTTTAAAGCGAACAATTCAGCGGCGTTTGGTACATTCACAGTGTTGTGCAACCACCCTCTCCGTCTACTTCCAGAACACTCTCATCACCCCAAAAGGAAGTTCCATCCCACGAGCAGTCACTCCCTATCACCCCCCCACCCCTGCGCCAGCCCCTGGCCCCACCATCCTGCTTTCTGTCTGTATGGACTTACTTGTTCTAAACATTTCCTATAAGTGGAGTTATACAATATGTGGCCTTTTGTGCATGGCTTCTTTTAGTTAGCGTGTTTTTTTTAAGTTTGTTTCTTTTCAAGAGAGAGAGAGACAGAGCACAAGCATGGTGGGGCAGAGACAGAGGGAGACACAGAATCCGAAGCAGACTCCAGGCTCTGAGCTGTCAGCGCAGAGCCCGACGCCCGGCTCGAACTCACAACGCATGAGACCCTGACCTGAGCGAAGTCGGACGCTTAACTGACTGAGCCACCCAGGCGCCCCTCACTTAGCGTTTTTGAGGTTCATCCACGTTGTACCCTGAATCAGAACACCCTTCCTTTTTATGGCTGAAATATATTCCACTGTATGGATCGACCACGCTTTGTGTATCCATTCATCTGTGGGTTTTTGTGTTTTTTTAGTTTATTTATTTATTTTGAGAGAGAGAGAGAGAGTGAGTGAAACAGGGCAGAAAGAGAAGGAGAGAGAGAATCCCAAGCAGACTCCACACTGTCTGTGCAGAGCCCGATTTGGGGCTCAAACCCATAAACCGTGAGATCATGAGCGGAGCCAAAATCAGCCGGTCGCTCGACCGACTGAGCCCCCCCATTCATCTGTTGATGGACATTTAGTTTGTTACCTCCATTCATCTGTTGATGAACATTTAGTTTGTTACCTCCATTCATCTGTTGATGGACATTTAGTTTGTTCCCACCTTTGGGGGATTGTGACTTAGCACTGTTGTGAACATACTTTTTCCCGTTTTCCATTCCTTTGGGTCTCCCCGTAGGAGTGGGGTTGCTGGGTCCACACGGCCATTCTGCATCTAACTGAGAAGCTGCCAAACTGTTCTCTGCAGCAGCTGCAACATTTTCAATGCTGAGGACTACGGTTTCTCCACATCTCCACCAACACCTGCATTTTTGTTGTTGTTGCTGTTTTATGAAGGCCTCGTTTTGAATCTTTGAAATCTAAGCCTTCGGGAGGTCCTCGGCGCTGCCCTCTGTCACCCACCTCTGATCTGTCAGACGGCTCCACCTTCTACATTATCCAGAATCTGGCTCTCCTTCCCCAGCCCCCATCCTGGCCAGCGGAGGAGCCGGGACTGTGCAGTCACCACTACCCCCTCCTTCCTGGGCTCCGGTTGGCGCCCCGGAGCCCACCGTCTATTCTCCGCCACAGTGGCTAGAGGGCGCCCGTGGACACGGGAGTCGGGGCGCATCTCTCCACCTCCCTCGTTGCACACCCTTGCTGTTCCTCAAACACACCAAGTCAGTTTACCTCAAGGCCTTCGCAGCACTGGCCACTGCTGCTTCCTAAAACTGCTTCCCCTCCCCCTCCCACTCCCTCCCTGTACTGAGTGGCTCCACCCTCATATCCTCCAGGCCTTTGTTCAAAAGTCTCCACCTCCAAGAGATCTCTCCCGACCACCTTTCTTAAAATAGCACTGTCTTTCCTCACTGCATCAACACACGGCAATGGTCCTCTGCACCCTGATGCAGAGGATCATTCTTTTTTCTTTTTTTAATTTTTTTTTAATGTTTTATTTATTTCTAGGGGAGAGAGAGAGACAGTGTGAGCAGGGGAGGGTCAGAGAGAGAGGGAGTCACAGACTGAAACAGGCTCCAGGCTCTGAGCTGGCTGTCAGCACAGAGCCCAACGCGGGGCTCGAACCCATGAACCGAGAGATCATGACCTAAGTGAAAGTCGGACGCTCAACCGACTAAGCCACCCAGGCGCCCCAGAGGATCATTCTTTATATCGCTTATACGGCCATCAAAGATATATTTATGGGTTTCGCCTCGGTTCCCCCCCCACACACACATGCTGGAAGAACAGCTCTAGAGAGTGGGGTCCTCGCCGGCTTTGGTCACAGTGCTGTCCCCACTTTCGACAACAGGGCTTGGCACAATACATTTGCTGACTATATCGTTGCATAAATGTAAATGTGCCCACATGTAAGTAAGTAGCTGCTCAATAAATATAGTGAGCAATGCTTGGGGCGCCTGGGTGGCTCTGTCGGTTAAGCGTCCGACTTCGGCTCATGATCTCATGGTTCTCACGGTTCATGGGTTCGAGCCCTGCTTTGGGCTCTGTGCTTACAGCTCAGAGCCTGGAGCCGGTTTCAGATTCTGTGTCTCCCTCTCTCTCTGACCCTCCCCTACTCATGCTGTCTCTCTCTTCAGAAATAAATAAAAATAATTAATTAATTTAATTAAATAGTGAGCAACGCTCATGTGTCCTATAGTGGGCACCAGACGCTATTCTTTTTTTTTTTTTTTTTAAGCTTATTTATTTATTTGGAGAGAGAGACAACTTGAGCAGGGGAGGGGCAGAGTAAGGGAGAGAGAATCCCAAGCAGGCTCCACACTGTCAGGCGCTGGGCCCAATGCAGGGCTCGAACTCAGGAAATGTGAAATCCTGACCTGAGCTGAATCTAAGAGTCAGTCGCTTAACAGACCGAGCCACCTAAGCGCCCCCCACCCAGTGCTGTTCTAAACACACTTGGTGTGTTACCACATGGATTCCCCTCACTCTTCAGCCCTTCCTCAGGCACTATATCACTTTCATTTTGTAGATGAGGAAACTGAGGCACAGAGAAGTGAAGTCACTTGCTCAAGGTCACACAGCACTGAAGCAGCAAAGCTGGGCTTTGAACCCAGGCAGAGCAGTTATCATGTGGCTTTGGACCCAACCCAATCTCCACCCCCCACCCCCACATCTCTCCTCACAGCCATTCCAACAGAACGTGGACTGTGACAGTGCCCACTGGGCAGAGCTGGGTGGCCATTCCGCGGGAGCAGCTTACCATGTCTGATGAACTGCTTGTCTGGGGTACCGAGGCTGGCCAGCCTCTCTGGCCCCCAGTCTTCGTGAACCTGGAAACGCGAAGTAACAGGCGGGATGGGGGGTTGGGGCGTGCTGTGTGCGGGGCGGGTGGTCCTGGAGACCCCGGCTAAATACATCCCGGCCTCCTCTTCCTCAGTGAAGCCAGATGCCCCCCAACTGTACCCTGACGTGGACTTTTCCGAGGACGACCCCTTGGAGGCCACTGTCCAGTGGGCCCCGCCGGTGTGGCCACCCCACAAGGTCCTGGTCTGCCAATTCTACTATCAAAAATGCCAGGGGAATTCCTGGACTCTGGTGAGTGTCAGGGGCCCCCCCCTTTTCCCCACCCCACTCCAGGCAGGGCCCAGGGCATCATCCCCAAATCAGAGACCCAGCCCAGAGCCTGTTGATTCCTCCTAGAGTCTGTCTACACCTCACACAAAAGGCCTGTACATTGCATCATATTCAGCTAAAAAATCACACACACACACACACACACACGCACCAAATAATCTCAAATTTCATGCAGTCCCAGTCCAAACTCCACTTGGAATTGTTGAGAAACTCAGTCAAGTTCCTCCAGCAGTTTTGTGAATGAATAGAAGTCCTCTAGTAGCTTACATTAACCTTCAAATAATAGAAGATGTCTAGGAAGTATCTACCATGTACCAGTGTTCTAGGCTCATCATTGAAGCCTTACAAGAGCTCTTTGATTGTAGGTGCCTTTTATACCTACCTGTTTTACAGATGAGGAGCAAGGCTTGGTTTAAATAAACACTCAAAGATAATTCATAAAGGCAGCTGACCTTTCTGACCACCTGCTGTGGATCAGGTCCCAAGCTAATTGCATGGATTACCTCCCAACCTTCCTTTACAGTAGATGCTTTTGAGATTATCTATTTCATAGTTAGAGAAGCCAACCTCAGAGAAGTTAAGCACCTTACCAAGCTCACACAGCAAGAAAACGGAAGAGAACTCTAGAGCCAGGAGACCCCAGGAAGGACTGGGAAACCTGCCCTGCACTTTGTACAACACAGAAGTCACTATGATCCTTTCCTCTCATAGCTCATTGGCCAGAACAGAATCACATGGTCCCACCTGATTGTAAGGGAGGCTGGGAAATGTAGTTCTTAGTCTCGGCAGCCATGTTCCCCACTGATACTCAGGGCTTCTATTTCCAAAGGAACAAGGGGAGAATGGATATTGGGGATGGCCAGTTGTCTCAGGCACCTCATGCAAAACATTGCAACGTAGAAGAAAGTTGTCATTGGGTTTATTCATGCAATTCAGGGAAATCCTGAGATGCAGACTTTGGAATCTGACTGCCTGGGTATGAATCGCCTCTCCAGCGCTCACCTGCTTGGTGACCTTGGGCAAGTCACTTCCCCTCTCCAGGGCCTCGGTTCTCCTCAACTGTAAAATGAGGATCATAATAGAATTTACTACCTACTGCTATACATGACCCAGACATAGGGTGGCCAACTTGTCTCCTCTTTTTGCTGGGGATTGCCCCAATTTGAAAACCCCAAGGCCCGTGTCCTGGGAACCCCCTTGGTCTTGTGCAAAGCATGGGACAGTTGGACCCTGCGGACATATCTGGTCAAATAACCTCAGCTCAGCCCAAGGCTTCATTGCTCTTTCCTGTCTCTCCCCCAGCTGGAACCGGAAGTCAAGTCCATACCCCTGACCCCGGTTGAGATCCCGGACCTGGAGCTAGCCACTGGCTATGAGATGTACGGCCGCTGCCGAATGGAGAAGGAAGAGGAGCTGTGGGGCAAACAGAGCCCGATTCTGTCCTTCCAGACACCGCCGGCTGGTGAGGCTCTCCAGGCTTGCCCCGGCACCCTCCTCTCCCCTCCTGGAACCTACCACCCGTGCCTCTCTCACTTGTACCCCCCTTTCCTCCCCCTTGGCAACTCCGAAAGATGTGTGGATCTCGGGGGGCATCTGCGGAACGGCAGACACCCGGGAAGTCCTGCTTCTGTGGAAGGTGAGGCGTGGGGCTCCGCCCCCTGTCCCCGCGCATGCCCGGAAGCCCCACATAACAACCGTGCGCACGAGCCCGAGGTGGCACCCGGCTGCTGCCTTCTAGCAGAGCTAGTGCACTGACTGGCTGGGCAGGTGGACCTCCCTGAGAGCCACGGTGTGCGTGGCTGGTAACGGGGAGACACTGACACCCTCTTCCTGTCGTCCTTCAGCCCCCGGACCAATGCGTGCAGATGAGCTATAAAGTCTGGTTCCAAGTTAAAGGTCAGGAGCGGATCCAGAAGACGGCTCCCTGCTGTAACTCCTCGGTCCCCAGCCAGGCGGACTGGGTTGGGCTGTCTGCCGTCAATGCCAGGAGCTGGGGGCCTCTCACCAACCTTTCCCTGGCCTGCTTGGGTAAGAGGCCGTGAACCTGGCCCCAGCAGTGCCCCACCCCTCCAGGGAGGCGGGGCCTCCCGGAGGGGGCAGCTGAGACTTCTCCCCTTCTCCCCCGTCCAGGTCCAGGGGCTGCCCCCCATGGCGTGGAGGTCACCAGCGTTCCTGGGAGCTCCGAGCTGCTGGTGACTTGGCAGCGGGGCTCTGGGCAGTTGCAGGAGCACGTGGTGGACTGGGCTCGGGACGGGGATCCCTTGGGGGCCCTCAGTTGGACCCGGCTTCCCGCGGAGAACCTCAGAGCCCTATTGCCAGGTGAGGCCCCGGGACACCTGGGTCCCCGTCTCAGCGCCTGCGTAGGCGACTGATGAGCGGACCAGCAGGAGAGAGTATTGCGCGTAAGGTCTCATTAATTCACCCACACAGGATTCGCTGACCGCTCACTGTGGCCCAGGCCGTGCGCTCGCCACTGGCGTGCAGGGACAGCGCTGAGGTCTGTTGGCATTCATCGGACGCGTTAAATTGTTCGGGCTGCCTTGTAAAGTAGGCTTCTGTTATTATCCTGCTCGAGGTATAGAGGAAGAAAAAGGACCAGGGAGGTTAAGCAACTTGCCCGAGGCCACACAGCAAATGGGTGGTAGATGCGGAAGGCAGGAGGCGAACCACATAATCAGGCCCCTGAAGCCAAACCCTGAGCCCTCCCACCACCCTCTGTCTCTTGGCAGCATAACATCCCGGTCATCATGGAACGTTCTTACGGGGTGAGCAGCCAGAGAAAGAAACAACAAAACAAATACCTCCGTCACGTAATTGGGGAGGAATAAAACAGGGTGAAGGGGAGGAGGGAGAAAGGTTAGAAAAGGCCTTTCTGGAAAAGCAGCTTTTGAACCGAGACCCAAAGGAGGTGAGAGAGGGAGCTGTGAGGATGTCTGAGGGAAACTCAAGAGGGAACAGACAGTGCAAAGGCCCAGAGGCAGAAATGTGCCTGACCCGTTAGAAGAACAGCGAGGAGGCGGCAGAAGTAGAATGGATGAGGGGAGAGAGGGAGGAGGTGAGGGCAGAGAGGTGACAGGCAAATTGTGCGAGGCCCCTTGGGCTATGAGAAGGACTTGGACTTTTCCCCTGAGTGGGGTAGGAACCACGGAGAGTTCTGAGCAAGAAGGGATAAGCCCAGACTTAGTTGCTCACAGGTGCCCTTTGGGGGCTCTCGGGGGGGGGGGGGGGGGGGGGAAGTGGCCTGGGGAAGGGGTGAGGACTGTACCAGGTGGGAACTGAGGAAGGGGAAGAAGCAGGAAGGTTCTGACTGGGGAGTCCTGGGGCAGAATTTTGGGGATCCCCTGGGATGTTTTCTCGAAGTTTATCTAAATGGAGCTGGCCCTGGGGCTGACTTTTGGATACTGCGTCCAGGGCTGGCTCTGCGTTCTGGGCTGGGCTGTGGCCCCGGGGAGCCCATCGTTGGTGTAAAGGACTTGGGAGAGCATGAGAGAGAGGTATCGAGTGAAACCTTTAGGGAGGACAGCGTCCCGAGGCCCATAATATGTATGCGCAACAGGAGGGGCCCCGGTTTTGGAAAATTCCCACTTGGGGAAGGCCGGGCAGCAGCCGTGGGTTGTGGGAAGGGACCTCGGGAGCCTCTCCTACTAGCATGGGTGGAGTCATGTCGGAGCCGCCCCACCCAGAGCCTGGTGTTAGACCATCTCCCAGCCTCGGGCACCAGCATTTCCTTGGCCTGAAGCCTTTTTCTGGTCACTGGAGCATTTTGCCTGACTAAACAGCAGGCTGGAGCGCTTGGGAGTGAAGTGCCATGATACGCAGCCCTCTATCAATTACTACTAGGGGTTGGTGGATACATACCCCAGCTTCCCCTCCCTGGATGGGAGGGCGCTCAGCCACGTGCTCTCTGCTGCCTCCCAGAGGTCGCCAGCGGGATTGAATTTCCATTGCCGACACTGGGAAATCGGACTCATCACTTACTGCTTTTCTTTCCCTATTTCACTTCCCAGCTGCCCTATTGGTGTTCCCTGGGGTTACCACCCAGGAATTCCTTTTACCCAAATATTTATGTCAGCGCGTCCTTCAGAAGACCCAAATGAAGACGCCTACTGGGTAGGGAAGGAGTGGGGGAGGGGGAGCCAAGTCCGTCTTTGTTCCTCCACCGAGCAGGGAATTTTGAAGGAGGGGTCCCCTACCGAATCACAGTGACAGCAGTGTCTCCTTACGGCTTGGCCCCTGCCCCCTCAGTCTGGAAGTTCAGAGAGGAACTAGGTAAGTGGTGGGGCTGGAGAACAGTGGAACCCTCCAGAACCCTGGCAGGCCCTGACCCCGTGGCTTTTCTCCCCAGTACCCCTAGCGGGGCCAGAGCTTCGACGACTCCAGGATACCCCCCCAGGAACGCCCACCGTAGCGTGGGAAGAGGTCCCGAGGCACCAACTTCGGGGTCACCTCACCCACTACACCCTGTGTGCACAGAGCGGGACCGGGCCGTCTGTCTGCATGAATGGTGAGCCCTCACTGCCTCCCCCCACTGCCCCTCATCCCCACAAGCCCCACCCGTCGCTCTACCCCACTCTTGTCCCCAGATCGGCCCCTTGGGTTCCCTCTCCGCCCCGGGGAGGATCCATGGCATCCTCAGCTCCCTCGTGGACAGTAAGTCCGTGGCTATCAATATAAGGAACTATTACTTCGTCATTAAAAATGAAGACTCTGATCTATATTTATTGACCTTGAAAGATGCCTGTCATGTTTTATTAAGTGAAAAAGATAAAAAAGATGACAAAACCCCATGAGATGTTTCTATTGTTGTAAAAGAAACCCCAGCACTGAGCACAGCAGAGGCACAAATATGAAAAGAAATGGCACAATGTCAGCAGCATCGCAGGATTATGTATGATTTTTATTTCTTTTTCACACCTTTGAGTACAGGCTACATTTTTACTCTGAGCACAAATTCCTTTTCAAAAGTATCTTTAAAAAAATTTTTTTAAATGTTTTATTTATTTCTGAGAGAGTGTGAGAGAGGCAGCATGAGCAGGGGAGGGTCAGAGAGAGAGGTAGACATAGAATCCAAAGCAGGCTCCAGGCTCTGAGCTGTCAGCACAGAGCCGGACACGGGGCTCAAACCACGAACTGTGCGATCATGACCTGAGATCATGACCTGAGCCGAAGTCCATCACTCAACCGACTGGGCCACCCAGGTGCCCCCAGAAATATCTTTATTACCCTTTTTTTTTTTTCTAATTACAAAAGTTATCTGTGCTTGTTAATGCTAGCACTCTTGAAGAGTGGGTCTTCAAGAATAGCAGCATTCTTGGGGCATCTGGGTGGCTTAGTCAGTGGAGTGTCTGACTCCTGATCTCAGGTTTTCATCTCAGGGTTGTGAGTTCAAGCCCCACATGGGGCATAGAGCCCACTTAAAAAAATATCAGCATTCCCAGGGTGCCCAGCTGACTTAGTCAGTAGAGCATGCGACTCTTGATCTTAGGGTTGTGAGTTCAAGGCCCACAGTGGGCATGGAGCCTACTTTTTTTAAAAAAGTAAAAAAAGGAAAAAAGTATCCATCAATCATTAGATTAAAAATTTTTTTATTTTAATGTTAGAGTGTGCAGACGAGGGAGAGGTATAAAGGGGGAGAGAGAGAATTGTAAGCAGGCTCCGTGCTCAGTGCAGACCCTAAAGTGGGTTTCAATTCCATGATCCTGGGATCATGAGCTGAGCTGAAATCAAGAGTCAGATGCTCAACTGACTCAGCCACCAGGTCCCCCTAAAATTTTTATATTTATATATTATTAAACATATATACATGTATTTTTTTTTTATTTTTATTTATTTCTAGGAGAGAGAGAGAGAGACAGCGTGAGCAGGGGAGGGTCAGAGAGAGAGGGAGTCACAGACTGAAACAGGCTCCAGGCTCTGAGCTGGCAGTCAGCACAGAGCCCGACGCGGGGCTCGAACCCACGAACCGTGAGATCATGACCTAAGCGAAAGTCAGACGCTTAACCAACTAAGCCACCCAGGCGCCCCTATACATGTATTTTTTTAAAGAGGACCATGTATTGGGGCGCCTGGGTGGCACAGTTGGTTAAGCATCTGAGTTCAGCTCAGGTCATGATCTCGCGGTTCGTGAGTTCAGACCCTGCATTGAGCTGTCACTGTCTCCCTCTCTCTTTTCCCCTCCCCTGTTCATGCTCTCTCTCTCTCTCTCACACACACAAAAATGAATAAGCATTAAAAAAAAAAAAAAAAAGTGGAGGAGGGCACCTGGGTGGCTCAGTTGGTGAAGTGGCTGATTTTTGATTTCGGCTCAGGTCATGATCTCATGGTCGTGAGTTCGAGCCCCGTGTTGGGCTTTGCAGTCACAGTGCGGAGCCTGCTTCGGATCCTCTGTCTCCCTCTTTCTGCCCCTCACTGGCTCATTCTCTCTCCCCCTGACCTCAAAAATAAATAAACGTTAAATCTTTTTAAAAAATAGATAATAAAATAAAATACCATGTTACAGACTATAGTTTGCCCCTGAGTCTCTCATGACTGTGATATTTTGCAACTTTATTATTTTTTTTCACCTGATTTAATTTGGTCATTTTTCCTTTTTTAAAAAACTTTTTAACCTTTATTTATTATTGAGAGACAGACAAAGCACAAGCATGGGAGGGGAGAGAGAAGGGGAGACACAGAATCCGAAGCAGGCTCAGGGCTCAAACTCACAAACTGTGAGATCATGACCTGAGCTGAAGTCGGACGCTCAACCGACTGAGCCTCCCAGGCGCTTCAGCTTGGACACCTTTCTATGGCCATATATCTGGATCTGTGCTCATGTCTCCCATAATCCTATAACACACCAAAAAGTTACTTCCTCTTTTGGCTTAAAAACAAAAAAGAGGGGCGCCTGGGTGGCTCAGTCGGTTAAGCGTCAGACTTCGGCTCAGGTCATGATCTCATGGTTCGTGGGTTCAAGCCCCGCGTCGGGCTCTGTGCTGACAGCTCAGAGCCTGGAGCGTGCTTCGGATTCTGTGTCTCCCTCTCTCTCTGCCCCTCCCCTGCTCATGCTGTCTCTCTCTCTCCCCTTACCTGGGGAGAATCTCCATTCACTGGGTTAATGGGCAGGTGAAGAATACAATGGTCATTCTTCTTTTAGTTTATCAAATATATATCATTTTTGAGAGCTTTCTGTGTGCCAGGCACTGATCTAGGTGCTGGGAATACAGTCCTTGGGGAGCAAAGTTTCTTTTTTCTTTAAGTTTCCTTATTTACTTTGGGGCGCCTGGGTGGCTCAGTCTGTTAAGCCTCTGACTTTGGCTCAGGTCGTGAACTCGCAGTTTATGAGTTCAAGTCTCTTGTTGGGCTCTGTGCTGACAGCTCGGAGCCTGAGGCCTGCTTCATGTTCTGTGTCTCCCTCTCTCTACCCCTCCCCACTCTGTCTCTCTCAAAAATAAATACACATTAAAATGTTTTTAATAAATAAAAATAAAGTTTACTTATTCATTTTGAGAGCGCTCAAGCGCACAGGGGAGGGGCAGAGGGAGAGGGAGAGAGAGAATCCCACGCAGGCTCTGCACTGTCAGTGTGGAGCCCAGCACGGGGCTTGATCTCCGGGGACCATGAGACCATTACCTGAGCTGAAACCAAGAGGCGGACACTTCACCGACCGAGCCATCCGGCTCCTTGTGGAACTAACTTCCTAGCGGTCAGGGAGGGCCTCACCAAGGAGGTGAAATTTGAGCAAAGAGGATGGGAGCCATGTGGGTATCTGGGAAGAGTGTTGCAGATGGGGAGAAAGCACATGCAAAGGCCCTGAGGTAGGACTCGACTGCCTCCCCCACCTCTCTGGGTGTGTCCTTCAGTGAGTGGCAGCACCCGGAGCATCACTCTGCCCGACCTTCCCTGGGGTCCTTGTGAGCTGTGGATGACCGCATCTACCACCGCAGGACAGGGCCCACCCGGTCCCAGCCTCCGGCTTCACCTACCAGGTAGAGGGGCTGGGGTGGGACTTCCCTAGGAGGGGCCTGCTCCATTCCAAGGAGATAGGGGTTTCAGTGAGTGAGCAACCTTTTGACTCGGGGATAGGGGATGGGGGTGGGGGTAGGGGGGTTGTTACTGGTGGTGTCTCAGGGGCATTCTGCTCCTGCTAAAATACTCTGGATAATCCAGCAGTGTGTGTCCCTGATCCTTTCACCCATCCCTGACCTTGACCTATCAGCGATGACTCTTTGGTTCATGACCCTCACAGCCACCCCAAGATCCACCCCCCTTAGCCCTTACCTACTCCTAAGCTCCGCCCACTCGCCCCCCTCCCTCACCCAAGTCCTGCCCCATCCATGATCCTTACCCGGCCCCTCCCCCATCCCCGGTGTCTAAGTGTTCTTCTGCGCCCCTCCTCCACCTCAGATAACACCCTCGAGTGGAAAGTTCTGCCGGGTGTCTTCCTCCTGTGGGGCTTGCTCCTGCTGGGCTGTGGCCTGAGCCTAGCCGCCTCTGGGAGGTGAGGCTGCCGGACATGTGGGTCTCTGCCCAGATGGGGACATTAGCCAAGCTTTGTGGCGGGGTGGGGGGTGGAGTGAGCACATGGTGAGGGGACACGCAGGGCTCTGTGACACTCCCGGACGCTGCAACCCAGCCCCCTTCCCGTTTTGCCAGGTGCCTCCACCTTCGGCACAAGGTGCTGCCACGCTGGATCTGGGAGAAGGTTCCTGATCCTGCCAATAGCAACTCTGGTCAGCCTCACATGGAGGTGAGCCAAACGGCGGGCTCACCGGGAAGCCCTGTGGGAGGGCGGCGAGTGCGGGGGCAGTGGGGAGCAGGTGGGGGGCAGTACCTCAGTTTCCCCTCTTCCCAGGAGGTGCCTCCAGCTCAGCCCCTCAGGGACTTCCCCATCCTGGAAGTGGAGGAGATGGAGCCACTACCGGTTCCGGAGCCCCCCCAGACCCCCGCCCGGCTGGACTCCGGGTACGAGAAACATTTCCTGCCCACCCCTGAGGAGCTAGGCCTTCTGGGGCCGCCCCCGGGCCCCAAGTTCCGGCCGGAACCCACCCCAGGCCAGGAGACCGGTGCTCAGCGGACAGATGAAGACACAGAGGATCAGGGAGGCTGAGCCACCGGCCTGAGGACCCCCAGCCAAGGACCCCCACAGCCAAAGGCCTGGCCCTCCGGGGAATCTATGGATGGATGAGGGAGCAAAGGAGGATGTGTGAAATCAGGAGTGGCCGCCGCCACCCCAGCCTCCCTCGCCGCCGGCTGCAGCCACGGACCAAGTTCTCGTCCACGGAACGTGAGCAGCAGTGGCGCGCGCCGCTGCCCAGGCTGCGTGGGGGCTCCTGCCCATTCTCTTCCCTTTCCCGGGAGCTGGAACATCAACGTGCCCGTGATCCCGGCGAAGGCAGGACAAGAAGGGGATAGAACCCCGAGTCCCCGAGTGGCTGCCTGAATCAGAGCCACCCAGAGAAATGAACTTCGAGGTTTTCATGGCTACGGGAGCTCGGGAACTTTCCACAAGGAGCCGCCTGTACCCTCACGCGGACTCCATCTTTGATTCCAGCAGAGTGAAGCCTCGGATTTCCCACAGGGAGACGGTGAAGGGATCCCGAGCCAACAAACCCATACGCTCCAACCGTCCGGATGCGTTCACGTTTTATTTTCAAGTATAAAGGCTTTGTCGTAGAAGGGAGCCAGGGTCACAGGCAGTGGGCGAGGGGTCCGGAAGCCCGGGTGGAGGTGGGCGTGCGGGCCAGCTGGCTCCCGGGTGCCACAGTCAGTTCCGTGGTGCCCTGTCTGTGCCCGGGACCCGCTACTGGATGCCAAGAGGCCGAGGTAGCTGTGAGAGGAGCTGGGCGCCGGGTGGAGGGTGTGGGCTCACATGACCACACAACACTGGCACGTCTTTTGCTTGGGGCCACTTGCCTCTCCCCCCTCGGGAGGGGCGGGTGGCTCGGGCTGCCGGGCAGGTGCGTAGGTGGGCACGGGGCGGGCACTGGGGTTGGCCCCGGGCCCTTCCACGGCAAGCAGTGGCTGGCACTCGGCGGGCTGCTCTGGAGCTGGGGTCTCCGCCAGCAGGGGGGTGGCGTCCCCAGAGGGGCCCTGGCCCTCAGCAGGCGTTTGGGGCCTTACAGATTCTTCCTCCAGGGAGCCTTCCTGCTTCTCCTGGGGCTGTGGTCCTTCCTCTTCTGGCCTTGACTCTGCCTCACTCCCTTCCTTTGCCTGACATTCCTGTCCTCTCCCCGACTCTCTCTGCTCCCCTGGACTGAGCTCTTCCTCAACCACTTCGGTCTTCTCCGCCTCCAGGGGCCCCTCCCCTCCTGTTCCCTCCTCCTCCAGGGGCCCCTCCCCTCCTGGTCCCTTCTCCTCCAGTGGCCCCTCCCCTCCTGGTCCCTCCGCCTCCAATGGCCCCTCCCCTCCTGGTCCCTCCGCCTCCAATGGCCCCTCCCCTCCTGGTCCCTCCGCCTCCGATGGCCCCTCCCCTCCTGGTCTCTCCGCCTCCAATGGCCCCTCCCCTCCTGGTCCCTCCCCTTCTGTTCTCTCCGCCTCCGGTGACGCCTCACCTCCTCCTTTCTCTGCCTCCAGTGGCGCCTCACCTGCTCGCTCTGCCTCCAGGGACTCTTCGCCTCCTTTTCTCTCTGTCACCAATGGTTCTTCAGCTGCCTCTGGTTCTTCTTCATCTCCTTTCTGCTCTACTTGCAATGGCTCCTCACCTCCTTCCCTCTCTGCCCTCAGAGGTCCCTCAACTGCCTTTCCTGTGGCTGGCGCTGCTTCCTCAACTGCTTTCCTCTCTGTCCTCAGCCTTCCCTCCCCTCCTCTCCTCTCTGGCTCCAAAGAGTCTTCGCTTCTCCCCCTCTCCCGCACCGGAGACATGTCTGCCCCTGTCTCTTCCTCTGGCCCTTTCTTCCCTGCGCCCAGTAATTCCCCTGCTTCCTCTGCTAGGCTCCCCCCCGCCCCCCAGGCTTCCTCTCCTGACCCCCTCTCCCCCCACAGCGGACTCCCAGGCCCTCCCCCCCTTCCCCATGCCCTGGGCCCTTCCAGCCCCTCCACGACCAGCTCCTCCCACTCCTCGCTGAGGGTCACCCTCTCCACCCAAATGAAGGACCCTTCGTCTCCTCCAGAGCCCCCTGGCCCGTCACCATCAGGGCTGCCCCTGGGGACACCTCCTTCTCCAGGAGCTGCTCCCTCTGGCCTCACCTGGGGCCTCGGGGAGCTGGCCTGTGCGGCCTCCTGGCCCCCGCCCCCCTCCCCTGTGGCCTCTGCTTCGCTGCTCCCCGGCCCGCCCACCCCCTCCCAGACCACTTCCACGACGCCCCTGTCCTCCTTCACCCAGGACGGGAGCTCTGCGCAGGAGGCTTCCTGCCTGTCCCCAATGGCCTCCAGCACCATCTCCTCCACCTTGGCCTCCAGCTCTGGGCCCGTGGCCTCCGTGGCATAGTCCTCTGTGGCCCTCAGCCCCTCCCATACCACCTTCACCACACTCCCTCCTTTGGCCTCACCCACGCCCCCCTCCGATGCTGTGGGCCCCTGACTGGGTCCCTGTTCTGGAGGGGGGCTGGGACCGGGGCAGGGGCCATTGGCTTCTGAGGGGGTCCCTGCTGCCCCAGGGAACAGCCTCAGGGCGGGGGGAACTCTGACAGCCTCTCTGGGCTCAGAGGGACACTCGGGGGATGTGTCCACGAGCCCAGCAGGTAGGGAGGCTCTCTTGTTCAGATCAGCATGGCCTTGGGGAGGAAGGGGAGGAAACGGGGCAACAGAGTGAGATCGTGGCCCCACAGATTCAGGCCCCTCTCCTCCGGCCCCCAGACCTGGGGCCCAAACACCCACCTGTGGGACCTGGCTCCAGGGGAGGCTGGGAGAGAGGTCGCGGGCCCTGCAGGGGTGGCAGAGACAAGGTCAGGCCGGCCTGCCTCTCCCCCTCCAACCTACCTGCATGCCGTACCCTCCCCTACCCAAACACTCTCAATGGCTCCCCCACCAAGTTCAGGACCAAATCCCCCGGTGCCTTCCTCACTTGTCTTAGCACGCTCTGCTCAAGTGCCTCACACACAGTAGGTGCTTAATCAATACTGCGTTTGTGGGCCGACGGCTCTGTATTAGGAACCTACTCTGTCAGCTACTGAGGCTGCTGTGGACAAGGGACACTTAAGCCTTTTGCTATTTGGAACTTGCATTCCGGGGGGGTGGGGTATAAACGTAAACGCAAATAAATATGTAGCGCCAGCGAGTGAGAAAGACTATGGCCAGAAAAAAAAAAAAAAAGCAGGATGAGAGGCTATAGAGAAAGCTGGGAGGTGGTGGGGTGCCTCCTTTATGTATAAGATGCAGGAGGGCCTCTAGGAGGAAGTGACATTGAGCAGAGACCTGAAGGGTGAGAAGAGCTGGCCTTGAGTCAAGAGGCAGCTACAGCCATTCCAGGCAGAGGGGAGAGCAAATGCAAAAGCCCTGAGGCTGCAGTGAGCTAGCACGTTCAAGGACCAGAAAAGAGGCTCAGTGTTGCTGTAGCAGAGTAAGGGAAAGGGCAAGAGTATGAAAATGGGCTCAGAGAAGGGTGGGGGGCAGCCTGCTCGTCCAAGCCCCGGGGATCCTCTCCTCACAGCTCCCTGGAAGATCAGAATCTTCTTTCCAGCCTCCAGGCTTTTGGGTGGACTGTTTCCTCTGCCTGGAATTCCCTTTCTCCTCTTGCCTGGTTCCCACGCAGATTCAGTACATATGTCACTGCCTCTGGGAAGCCTTCCTGGGTCACCCAGGTGATTCCTCCATGCTCCTCCCATGCCCAGTGCTCCCCCATCACTGACTCTTAGATGGTGGCTCCTCTGGGCCAGGAATCATGCCTGGCTCTGCTCTAGCAAGGAACTTCTGGCCTATACTGAGAACCCAACAACCTCTTCCCACATCCATTAAGAGGTCTCTTTGCCCTCTCGCCTGCCAGAGGCATGTGGGAGCCAAGGTAAGCTATCAGGGAAGGCGGGAGACCGTGGAATGAGGGCTCCTTGCTGTGGCCAGATCTTTGGAGTTCAAGGACAGCCCGGAGCCAGAGCATAATGGAAAGCTGCCCTGGTTTTCAAAAGCATGTGTCTTGCAGAACATGTAGACTGTATCTTAATAAAGGTGCTACCAAAACTGAAACCCATGTGGAGGCGTCAGATCACAAGAGCATCTCTTGGTGACCCATTCCTCCCTATGAAATGGCCAAATTCCATGAGCAACCCCCCCCCCCGCATCTCCCCACCACGTTCCTCGTTCTGGCCATGTTAGCAATCCTACCTCAAAACTCCCCCACGCCTGTTCCTAGGATCTTGTTGACCCACACCTGCTCCTCTCCCACGCGTGTACTGTCGCTACTCTCATTTTAGACACGGGGAAACTGAGGCTTGAACAAGGAAAGCGACTTGCCCAAAACCACAGAGCAAAGAAACAGCAGAGGACTCAGCGGCTGCACTGCATTTGGAGAAGTCACTTGGAGAAGTCCCGCTTCTGTCCCTGATGGCCGCGCCCCACCGCCTCCCATTTGCTCCCCAGGGCTGCTCACCTGTCTGCGCCAGGTGGGCCTGCCCGCTGACTTGTGCTGGGCACCTGTGGACGCACTTTGCAACAGCTGCAGCTGGGACTGGAGTCTGAGGAAGAGAGGAGGCTGCTGGGAGCGGGGGGGCCCCCAGGCTCACCGCCAACGCCCCCTCAACAGGCCACCTCCCTGGCGCGGACCTGGGGACCTGGTCTAGCCAAGCCTGCCAAAGCCAGCAGGCGGGGGCCCGAACTCACGTGAACAAACTGTCTTCCAAGTTCCGGATTCGGGCCTGAGCCTGGACCTCGGGTGACTCGGGGTCCTTAGAGGTGGAGTCCTCCTGCTGCTGCCGCTCATCGGCTGCCCCGTCCATTAGCCAACGCTCCCGGAGAGACTTCCTCTGGGCACGGGGAAGGTAGCTGTGGCTGTGCATGCTGGCTACACCCCACCCCATGGAGGGCTCCCTCCTAATCCCTGGGCTGGGAAGGTTGCTTATTGTCCAAAACCACCCGATCGGCACAGACATCTCTCCTTCAGGTGGGGATACGACACATGCCCTCGTTGTCATCCCCCTCTACACTGCCAGGTGGGACAGACACCCCATTAGCAGCCTAGAGCTCTCCCAGGCTGGAAGGAAACACCCATCTTCTCCCCACCCCTTCCAGAATGGGACAGGCGCTCCCAGAGGTGAAATCAACGTCTCTATGGGCCCCTCCCTACCCAAAGCCGGGCAAACACCTTCACTGTCTCCATACTCTTCCCAGAGGTGGTACAAATGTCCCCATCATCATCACCACCACCACCCACCCCCGCCCACTCTCCCAAGCAGAGGAAAAACGGCCCTCTAAGCTGGAATCAATACCCCCAGCTGCCCCCCCCCCAAATCGGACAGAGCCTCCCACGATCCCCCAACCCGACTCTCGTAGATACCCCCACTTCCCTGCCCGGGCTTGACAGGCGCCCCGCCCGCCCCCAACCTTGAGCCGCTCCACGCGGAGTTTCTCCTCTTCCAGCTCCCGGCGCGCGGCGCGGATCTCCTCCTGCAGCCGCCGCTTCTCCTGCGCACAGAAGACCGGGAGCTGCCCACGGGCCGGGCGGGGCCGCCACCTCCCCTTCCGCCTTCCCTCCTCCTCGGGGCTCGCGGGGGCTCCCGGGGCTCCCGGGACTCCCGGGGCTGCGAACGGGGCGTGGCTGCGGAGCGCACGTCGGGGGCCCCGGCGGGGAGGGGGCTGCGGAGGCGCTGACTCAGCAGCGGGTGGGGGCGGGGCGCGGGGGCGGGGCCGGCCGCGCCGGGGATGCTGCGGAGGCCTTGCCCGCGCGGAACCGGGGGTCTGTGGAAGGGGGTGGGGCCTTGGAATGCAGATCTCAAAGGGAGACAGAGCTGTGGGGGGTCCGAGATACGGGGCCACGAGAGCTATGGGGGTCTAGATGTCAGAGGAAGGGGTAATGAGATGGGGGGTGCGAAGAGACTGGGGCGTAGAGATGAAGGTGCAGAAGTCGAGGGCAGACGGGACTTAGTGAGATGGGGGTTCAGAGGGATGCGGTACAGATATGAGGGTCAGGAGGATGGGCGTTCAGATAGACCAGGGTGTAGAGATGGGGTCCAGAAAGACGGGGGTGCAGAAGTGGGGGAGCAGAGAGATAAGGGTTAGTGAAATGGGGCTTCACACAAATGGAATCTAGAGAGATGACGATCCAGAGTCGGGGATCAGAGAGATGGGGTTCAGACACGGGGTTTTGGGAGACAGGGGTTCAAGAATGGATCATTGGATGAGGATTCTGGGGGTGTGGGGTGCACAGCCTCACCGTTCTGGGGAGGTGGTGACCAGATAGAGGAACTGGGGAACAGAGGGGCCTGAGGATTCAAGTGGGGCGCGCCAGGCAGGGCTGGAGCTGAGGGTGCTGCCCACCCCCCTCCCCACTTCACAGGGTTAGGCTTGCTTCCCTGGATGAGAGAGAGGCGAGGAAGAGACCTGGGGCAAGGCTAGGAGTGCCCAGGATGCGGGGGTGGGGGGAAGGGCGTGGAGGGGTACTGGGGGGGGTAGCCCGCTAGGAGGGCTCCACTTACAGAAATGACCTCTAGCCGCTGCCGGTAGAGGGAGCTCTCGGCCATGGGCCTGTGGGAAGAGAGCAGAGACTAGGGAGGGGGTCTTCCCAGGTCTCCACCCTTCAGCAGGCAAACCTCCTGAATGCCCCTTTCTGAGCCAAGATTTCTGAGCTGCTAGGAAACCAACCAAAGCTCACCATTTTCCTCTATTTCCCCTTTGCAACTGAAAGGAGTTGGGGTAGAGGGCGGGGGTCCTGTGCGGAGGAGGGAGCAGAGACGCTGACAAGCTGAGCTACAGCCCTTCCTAGGCTTGACATCACCTCTCTGAGCCTCAGTTTCCTCATCTGTAAAATGGGTCAGGATAGCTTGATCCTCACCCTGTAGAGAGGTGCCCTTGCAAGGAAGTCTCCATGCAGGAAAAAAATTGGACATGGCGTTCCAAAACCAGTAACATCATTTATTATCACTCATAACTTTAACAATTGCCATGATTAATCATGCTTTATGGTTATTTATAAGGACCATTCCCAGGCTGTCCATCAGACACTCTCAAATCCTCCCAGGCCCCTATCATGCTGTGTGTCTCTTTCCGATTCTATACCCTCTCTGGACCTCAGCTCCTACCCAGGATACCTTAAGCATTAGGGAATGAGGGAGTCTGGGGACAGAAGCATCCATCCCACCATGGATGCCATCGCCATGGGAACTCTGGAGCAACCTGCCACATCTCCTACCTGGGGGCAAATGTTACCAGCTCACGCAGCCTAGTGCTGGACTCTGAGCTGAGATGAGGTGGAGGGGTCTGGCTGTTTAAGGCTTAACCTGAGATTCCCCCATTGTTGATTTCCTCGCAGCACCCCAGGATCCCCGATTTCCAGCTCCAGAGCTGCCCCTTCTGTGCCTCCCCCTGGAATCGAGAGGCTGACTGTGGCCATGCCGGACACTTAGGGGACAGGTGTTGTTACGTGAACGTGAACTTATCATCACAGATGTGCGTTGACCCTGGCAGGTTGTTTCATAAGCCAGTATCTAGATAGAAAGAATGTATCTATTTGTCTGTTGTCCCTGATGCTTAGTCCAGGGAAGGCACAGGGCAATCCCTCACACATTTATTAATTTGATCACTGACCCTATTGGATGACCGTTAGCCTCATTGCCCAAACTCTGCTGGGGCCTCCCAGATCTTTCCCCACCGCACCGTAAAGGCATAATAGTGCAGATACTTAGCGCTTACTATCTATAGGGCTTTAAGTGCTCGGCAGGGCTTCCGCTAGACTCTCACAGCCACCTCCGCCTCTCCCTCCCTGCCCAGATCTTGGGACACCGTAGTCCACGGTTTCCTGAGTTGATATTCTGAGAATAAAATCAGCCAGCCATTGGCCAGCGCGTACCATGTTCCAGGCGCTGTTAAATGCCTTGCCTATAGGAATTCATTTAATCCTCCCAAAGATCCGACTGCTGCCCCTATTTTATGGATGGGGAGACTGAGGCTCCAAGAGGTGGTGAAAAGACTTGTCTAAGGTCACTGAGTCGGGATCAGAACCCGGGGCTCTCAGGCCCAAAGTACTGGGAGCACTATGGGGAAGAGGTGGAGTCCAGACATCCTTGTCTTGGCAGCCAGGAGGCCAGAGATCAGCCTGGGAGGGGGCTGAAGTCGCTCTTTGCAAGGTATCCCAAAGGGAGCCCAGACCCCCCACTAATAGGTTTCCCCTTGGGGAAGGGCCGACATGCTCCCTCTGCTGTCCCATCCCCAAGATGTAATCTCCTTGCCTCTTCCTTGCTGGGGGGGGGGGGGGGCAAGATCAGGTTCCCGTTGCTAGGCAACCAGGTTTGTAGTTGGTGAATAATGCATCAGGGGACCCAAAAGAGTGAGGAACCAAATTGGGGTCCCTGGGGGGAAACCCTTTTCCATAACTCTTTACAAACCTCTAGAGCCCCTCCACCCTCTTACTTTAAAAGGCCCTCAAACCTTGAATATTAAAACCCTGTGCACGCCCCATTTGATATTGTTTATGTCCAACTCTATAAGAACAGCATTTGTGACTGTGGCCTCTTGTCACCAGGAGCGGCCGGTGGCCATTTCGTTAAGCTGGTGATGGTTCTAATTTTGCCGTCACCTTCCCTAGTTTGGCAACTTTTTCTGTCGTATCTCAAGCATTTCTTCCCACCCTGGACACTGAGGGGTGTTTCGAGAAGCAAAGCATGGGAGTGAGGGTCCCTGGTGTTTCCTCGTCCCCCAGTCACAGCCGCCCCCCCAGCCCCCCAGCCTGGACTTTGAGCTTGAAGACTGCCAGTGGAAAATCCCAGAAAAAAGGAAGTGGAGGTTCCCAGCTCCCACCCGACTCTGGGGAGACACGGAGAGCCTATGGGGTTGCCCGCTGACCTCTCTCTGCTCCCCCTGGTTCCCTTAGGAGAGGCCAGCTGGGGCTCTCACCCCCGTGGCAAGGCCAGCGACCCGCCGAGCCCCTCCCAGGCCCTGTGCACCAGCCCCCCTGACCCGGGACACTTACATGGGTGTGGCCGGAGACCACATCTGGCTCTGCAGAGCCATCTCTGCCCAGAAGCCCACCTTCGTTCGGGTCTCCAAGATCAGGACCCACCGCCCGTTTGCTTGAAGGTGCCCTGGAGGCTGTGACTCCAGCTGGTGGGAAGGGGGGGGCTGCAGGCGGGCACCGGGAGAGCTGGTCCAGCTGGTTTGGGTCAGGAGGCAGGAGGCAAACGGGGCGAGGGGGGCGGGGGGCTGGCGGGCACTTCTGGGGAGGCACTATCAGCTGTCCTGATAAATTATTTACCAGCCACTGGCCTCCTTGCCGCACTTGGCTGACTTGCAGCAAACACACTCTCACACGCGCGGTGCAGCGTGTGGGTGAGAGCGGGGAGCTGCTGACCCCCTCAGAAAATGGCATCTGCGCTTGGCCCCCCAGATGCCTCAAGTCCAGTTGCCCCCCAAGGGTCACCGGCACGTGGGCATCATGGCAAACCACCGTGTGGGATATTCTTATATACTCCTTCCCCGCCCTTCCTGGACCCTGGTGGGGGTGGGGAGAGGGACTGATTCAGCTAAGGAATTCTGGAGACCAGAGGCTGAGCACCATGGGAGCCAGGAGGTCTGGGCCCCTGGGAACTCTGGACAACTTGCCCCGGGGCTTCTGGGCCTCAGTTTGCCCTTTTGTGAAATTAGATCAAGTGGCCTCCCCAGGATCCTGACGCTCTTTAGATTCTATAATGATTAGGGGTGGGGCGGTAGTGAGCAAGGTCCAGAGGCCTTCCTTCCCAAATCTTGAGAATCTTGAGGCTCCCTGTTCTACCCCCCCCATGCTGTTCTTTTCTTTTTTATAAGTTTTTTTTTTTTTTGAGAGAGATAGAGACAGCATGAGCAGGGGAGAGGCAGAGTGAGGGGGAGAGAGAGAATCCCAAGCAGGTCCAAGCAGGCTCTGCACCATCAATGCAGAGCCCGATGTGGGGCTCGAGCTCATCAAACAGTGAGATCGTGCCCTAAGCTGAACCCCAGACGCTGTTAATTGCAGCGTGCATGCTGTGCAATTTGACATAAGCCTCAGTGAGAAGGGTCCTTGCCATCAGCCCCCTGCTCTAGAGGGCACGTTCCAGCCAGGGCCCTCCCCAAGTGGCAAAGGTCCCGTACCTGCCTAACTCCTCCCTCCCTCTTGCAGAGTCTGCTCAGGGTACTCGGGACCCCAGAATTCCCTATCCAAATTGTCCTTGGCTCACCCAAGGCCTATGTGCCTCCCAAATGCAGACCACAGAGCCAGGGTGTGCCTCACCCCACTGCCTCTAGCCTGAGAAGTGATCAAGGGCATCTGTGTGCAGAGGGGTAGGGATAAAGCTTGGATGTGTGATCTGGGCACAAGGCTCCTTGCTGTGCAGGAGAGAGTTGAAAGGGAGAAGTATAGCAGGCCAGACTGGGAGCTGGGGTTTCCCTGTGCCCCACATTCTAGTACAAAACTCCCAGGGATCCAAAACATTTTCGTTTGAACTTGGCTTTCTAAGTCTTTCTGAAAATACATTTGCTATGATAGGAGAAGGGAACATATTTAAGAAAAAAATTTTAATGTCTCTTTATTCTTGATAGAACACAAAGTGGGGAGGAGCAGAGAGAGAGGGCGACACAGAATCTGAAGCAGGCTCCAGGCTCCGAGCTGTCAGCACAGAGCCCGACGCGGGGCTTGAACCCACAGACCAGGAGATCATGACCTAAGTAGAAGTCGGTCACCCAATGGACTGAGCCACCCAGGCACCCTGAAGAGAACATATTTTTAAAAAACTTTTTAAATTTTATTTATTTATTTTGAGGGAGAGAGAGAGAGAGAGTACACATGGCATAGGGACAGAGAGAGAGGGAGAGAGACTTCCAAGCAGGCTTTCATTGCACTGACACAGTGCAGATCCCAACCTGGGGCTCGAACTCATGAATCGTGAGATCAAGACCTGAGTGGAAATCAAAAGTTGGATGCTCAACCTACTGAGCCACCCAGGCGCCCCAGAGAGAACATAGTTTTTAAATTACTATCTATTTAAAAAAATGTTTTAAAATGTTTATTTATTTTTGAAAGGGAGAGAGAGACAGAGTGTAAGCAGGGGAGGGACAGAGAGAGAGAGAGAGAGAGGGAGACACAGAATCCAAAGCAGGCTCCAGACTCCGAGCTGTCAGCACAGAGCGTGACGCAGGGCTCGAACTCACAAACCACGAGACCATGACCTGAGCCGAAGTCAGACACCTACGTGACTGAGCCACCCAGGTGCCCCTTTAAATTAGTTTTTAATTGTGGTAAAACACACATACAGTTTACCATTCGGGTAATTAGTACAATCACCTCTATCTGGGGCCACAACATTTCCATCACCCCAAAAGGAGACCCTGTGCCCATTTGCTTTCACTTCTTATTTGCCCTTCCCCCAGGCCCTGGCAACCACCAGTCTGTCCATTTCGTATAAATGGGATCGTACACTATGTGGCCTTTTGTATGTCCGACTTCCACACAGTGTAATGTTTTTAAGACTCATCCACAGCGCACTGGGTGTTGGGGCTTAGTTCCTTTTTACGGCTGAATAATATTCCATTGTATAGATCTACCACCACATTTCATTTCTCTATTCATGTGTTGATGGACGTTCTGGGTTGTCTCTACCTTTTGGAGGACAGAATCTATTTTATTTAATTGTTTGTAGTTTGATTTTATAACTGTCAAATATTTAGATGTACGGTATGTGGGCTTCCTTTTGTATTCTTCTCCTGTGTTCCGCATTGAGGCAAGATTGTTCTATGTATTTCTTTATTCAGAGTTTATTTATTTATTTTGAGAGGAAGAGACAGGGGGGGAGGGGCAGAGAGAGGGAGAGAGAATCCCAAGGAAGCTCAACGCTGCCAGCACGGAGCCCGACTCGAGGCTCGAACCCACACACCATGAGCTCATGACCTGAGCTGGAAATGCTTAAAGAATGCTTAAGCAACCGTTATGTACCAGTTACTGTTCTAGGCATGAGGTAGTTGAGTCTAGAGGTGAGCAAATGCTGTAATCGGCTCACTTTTGGTGGTGACGAGGAGAGAGAGATAATATACAGCTAAAGGCAATTGATGATAAGTGCCATATAGGGTGAGTTACAGAAAATAGCAGGGTTAGGGTCCTGGGGAAGGGCTGTGTGTGATGTAGGCTGGGTGATCAGGGACGTTTTGGCTAAAGAAGTGATATTTGAGTGGAGACCTGCAGAGCCGAAGCCAGCCAGGCGATGAGTCCTTCCAAGCCGAGAAAGGCAAGTCAGTGCAAAGGCCCTGAGGTAGGAGTGCAGTTGGAGGGTTTGAGGGAAGCACAAAGAAAGACTGGAATGGAGGAGTGAGGGAGAGTGTCAGAAGATGAGATCTGAGAAGTGGGCAGGGCCTTCTGGGTCAGAGTAGAGAAGTGAGATTCTTCTGATTGGTAGGTGGGGGGCCACCACTCAGTGCAGAGGACAGTGCAGTGGCTGGGAACAAGGGCGGAGGGAAATGGATGAATTCAGAATATGTTTTGGAGGCAGAGTCAACAGATTCAATAGCAATCTAGCATAGGGATGGGTTGGAACAGGGCTGAGAGGGAGAAGTTGAGGCATATTCCTAGGTTTGGGGCCTGAAAAACAGAAAGGATTAGGGCTGCCACACAGTGAGGGGTAGAGCTGGCTGGGGGGGACCGAGAGCCCAGTTTTGAAAGTGTTCAGTTTGAGGGGCACCTGGGTGGCTCGGTCGGTTGACTAGTTGTCCAACTATTGATTTCAGTTTGGGTCATGATCCCAGGGTCAGGGGATCAAGCCCCCCATGAGGCTCTGCACTGAGTGTGGAGTTTGCTTAAGATTCTCCCTCTCTCTCTCTCTTCCCCTCTGCCCCTCTCTCTGGCTATGCTTGTTTGCTTGAGCTCTCTCTAAAGTTAAAAAGAGGGGCACCTGGGTGGCTTAGTCGGTTAAGCGTCCGACTTTTGCTTGGGTCATGATCTCGCGGTTCGTGGGTTCGAGCCCCGCGTCAGGTTCTGTGCTGACTGCCAGCTCAGAGCCTGGAGCCTGGTTCAGAGTCTGTGACTCCCTCTCTCTCTCTGACCCTCCTCTGTTCACTCTGTCTCTCTCTCCCCTAGAAATAAAACATTAAAAAANTTGCTTGAGCTCTCTCTAAAGTTAAAAAGAGGGGCACCTGGGTGGCTTAGTCGGTTAAGCGTCCGACTTTCGCTTAGGTCATGATCTCACGGTTCGTGGGTTCGAGCCCAGCGTCGGGCTCTGTGCTGACTGCCAGCTCAGAGCCTGGAGCCTGTTTCAGTCTGTGACTCCCTCTCTCTCTGACCCTCCCCTGCTCATGCTGTCTCTCTCTCTCTGTCTCCTAGAAATAAATAAAACATTTAAAAGAAAAATATTTTTAAAAAAAGTTAAAAAGAGGAGGAGAAGGAGAAGAAGACCATGACCACGACCACGATGGAGGCAGAGGAGGAGGTGGCAGCGACGGCAATGAAGAAGAAAGTGTTCAGTTTGACATATCTATTAGACTAAAGAGTGTTGGAGATGAGTCTAAAATCCAGAGGAGGGGCGCCTGGGTCGCTCAGTCAGTTGAGCATCTAGTGTCAGCTCAGGTCATGCTCTCATGGTCCGTGAGTTCAAGCCCCGTGTCGGGCTCTGTGCTGACAGCTCAGAGCCTGAAGCCTGCTTTGGGTTCTGTGTCTTCCTCTCTCTCTGCCCCTCCCCTACTCATGCTCTGTCTCTCAAAAACAAATAAACGTTGAAAAACAAATTTTTAAACCCAAAGGAGAAGTCAGACGTAGAGATTTGAGAGACAAATCTCAAATTTGAGAGACACCAGCACAGAGATGGCATTTAAAGTATGTGGTTGTGGGGGCGCTTGGGTGGCTCAGTTGGTTAAGCCTGGGACTCTCGATTTCAGCTCAGGTTATGATCTCACCGTCCATGAGTTCAAGCCTGCGTTGGGCTCCTTGTTTAAAGTGCAGAGACTGCTTAGTATTCTCTCTCTCCCTCTCTCAAAATAAATAAATACACTTAAAAAAAATAAAGCATGAGGTTGGAATTGGTCAGGGGCTGAGTGCTGGCAGGAAAGAGATTGCATACTCATCAGAGCTTAGTGAAGAGTTAGGTTTTTTAAAAAATGTTTATTTGAGACACCTGGGTGGCTCAGTCGGTTGAGCATTCAACTTCAGCTCAGGTCACCATCTCATGTCTTGTGGGTTTGAGTCCTGCGTCAGGCTCTGTGCTGAAAACTCAGAGCCTGGAGCCTGCTTCGGATTCTGTGTCCCTCTCTCTCTCTGTCCCTCCCCCACTAGCACTTTCTCTCTCTCTCTCAAAAATAAACATTAAAAATTTTAAAAAATATATTTATTTTTGAGAGAGAGAAAGAGAGGGGAGAGCAAACAGGGGAGGGGCCGAGAGAGGCAGACAGGAAATGAAGCCTGCTCCCTGCTGACAGCAGAGAGCCTGTTGCAGGGCTCGAACTCATGCACCGCAAGATCATGACCTGAGCCGAAGTCGGAGGCTTAATCGACTGAGCCACCCAGGTGCTCCAGTAAAGAGTTGGTTTATAAAGATTTCGGGAAACGATCTGGGTTAGCAACAGCCAGGGGCTGTTTCCGTGCGTTGGCCTTGAGAGAGCTGCGTGGAGCAGCCACCGGCAGCGAAGGGACACAAACAGTGTGGCTCAGACGCAGGGGCGTGGAGTAGAGGTGCTGACCTCCCTCCCCATCAGCCAACCCCGGCGGAAGCCAGAGGGAAAGGAAGCCTGTGGATGCAGGTGAACCAGATGTCGGAGAGGGAAACCAGGAGATGGCGCTGTCCTCGGAGACCCCGCAGCTAATGGAAGAGGAAGTCAGACCAGGAACCAGGGTGTGGTTCATCAGCAGGTCCATCAGTGTCCATGGGTGGGAAAGGCTCAGTGGGATGGTACGACCCAGAGCCTTGTCAGTGCTGTCAAAGAGGAAGAGGAGGCGATGAAGAGGAGAGAACGCTGTCGACAGCTCTTTCCCGAAGTAAAGCTTTAATCTTTCTTGCCTCCCAAGCAAGTCGGCACTGCCTTCCCCATTTTACAGACGAGGGAACTGAGCCTTGGAGAAGGCTGGTACCTTGCCCAGGTTTTGCCTGGGATGGATCCCGGCTGGGCCCAATTCCAATTAGGCCAAAGGGCTCAGAGGGAGGAGCCTGAGACTAGGATCCAGGAAAGGGTGGGAAGGAGGGGAGTCAGGAGGGTAGGCAGACAGCTGGGGGGAAAGAGTGATCAGATAGTTGGATTATTGGAGGTTCCTAGGGGGTTCGGCACCGTTCTCTACGAAACTATCTTTCTTCCTGGTTTCCCTACAACGGTAGAGCAGGGTCAGAGGACAGATCTGGGGAGAGCCTGGGGGGAAGAGAGTGGAAAATGTCTTCGGGGGTGGGTCAACGCGCGGGGGCGTCGGTCCTGTAGGGTCTGAACGCCCAGATCTGGCGCCAGCTTCGGGGAGCCGCTCCACACCGCAAGCCTGGATACCTCCCCGGGCCCTCCCCGCCGTCCGGGCCCAAGGTGACCGCCTTTCAACCGCAGCTGCTCCGCTAAGCCACCGGGAGCGCTGTGCGCGTCCCTCCCTCTTCCCTCAATCTGGAAGTGCACTTGGCCGCGGACGCCGCGAGGACTTTTCCAGGAGGGGTGAGGGGAAGCAGCCTCGGGCTTGATGGGAGCGGCGGCACACTTCTTGGAAGCAGCCTCGTTGAGCCCAGGCACTGGCGGGGGAAGCTTGCGATGCGCCACGAGAGGGCTCCTGGCGCCCCCTTCAGTCTGAGCTGTGCGCTGCAGGGGTGGAACGTGGCTGGACAGCCCCGAGGCCAGGGGCGCTGCCGCCCGCTGGCCTGGGCGGGGCTAGCAAGGCTCCGGAAAGATGGCTGGGAGCACACCAGGACCTGAAGGCCGGCGCTTCCAACACCCAGCCCAGGGCCCCGATGGGGGTCAAGCCTCCTGGGAGTGCCGGGGACGTGCGGGCGAAAAAGGTGCCAGGGTGGCGCCCCGTTAGTGGAACGGCACCCAGACTTGTCCCCCAGCTGGCGGGCCACGCCTAGGGAAGCCCTCCTGCGAAAAGTCTGGTGCCCTGAGCTGACCCGAGGCGCGTCCGTGAACCAAATGCAGTGCCCTGCCCGGAGGGCGGGGCCGGGGCGGGGCCCAAGTCATTGCTGCAGGTGCAGGGGGCGGTGCCCGGCCCTGTCCCCGGGGGCCGTTCTTGGAGGCCAGGGGCGGGTCAGAGAAGCGGCTGAGGTAGGCGACGCCTTAGAACCCGCGGGCGGTGACTGTGCCACAGGTGCTGCGCAGGGCACCGTGTCCCGGCTCTGGGCATCAAAACTCCGGCGCTGGAAACTAAGGCTTCCGAGCTGCTCTCAACCCCGGACGCCGAGGCCCCCGGGCCGGAGAGCGGAGCCCTGGGGTCGTCCGAAGGTCGGGGCCCCGAGCCCCCCGGGTCAGACATCGAAGTCCCGGGACCTGGCGCAGAGCAGGACGCCGAGGTACCCAGGCCAAGACGCCAGGTCTCCGTGCTCTCCGCAGAGCAGGGCGCGGAGACCCCTGAGCGAGAGAGCGAAGTCCTTGGGCCGTCTGCGCGGCTGGACACAGAACGCCCCGGGCCATCCGCAGCTGGGGGGGTTGAGAGCCTTGAGCCAGGCAGAGACAGCCCCGAGCCGTCCGAAGCGCGAAGCGCGGGGGCCCCGAAGCACCGTCCTCTTCAGTGTCCCGACACCTCCTCCTCGGGGTCAGACTCGGCAGCCCCCCTGCTGCATTTTCCACCGCGCCCCGAGACCCCCCCGCGGGCCCCCGAGGAGCCGCTCATGGAGACGCCCATCGAGCGAGAGATCCGCCGCAGCTGCGAACGCGAGGAGAGCCTGCGCCGGAGCCGGGGCCTGAGCCCAGGCCGCGCAGGCCGGGAACTCGTAGAGCTGCGCGTGCGGCCGGTGCTCAGCCTGCCGGGCCCGGGCCCCGCGCTCCCGCGCGCCTTGGAGCGCGCTCGGGCGGGCGCGCAAATGCAGCGAGACATCGAGCGGGAGGCCCACCGTCAGGCGGCGCTGGCGCGCCCCGCGGCCCCGGAGCCGAGCGCCCGGCCGCCGCCGCAGCCGCTGGGCGAGCTCAAGCGATTCTTTGAGAGCGCCGCGGGACGCGGCACCTCGCCGGCGGAGGAAGGCGGCGCGGGCCCGCAGGGGCTGCCCGATCCCGGAGGCCGGCCGCGCCTGGCCGCGCAGGGCCGGTGCCCGGTGCTGGCCCGCGCCCCGCCGCGGGTCGCGCCGTCGCTGCTGGAGCAGGAGGTGCGCGAGGTGCACGAGCGCGAGCGGGAGCTGCAGCGCCAGCGGCTCTGCGTCTACGGCACCGCCGAGTTCAAGGAGCCCGCGCCGAGCCTCACGGGTAAGCCACGCGCGTCCCCACTCTAGGGACCCTCCGGGCTCCGGCCGTCCTCATCGACTGCCCAACTCCAGTGGCCTCTTCCCTGGCAGTTGGGGTACCTCCTTGGGGCTCCCAGACTCCTGCCCCCCCGCCCCTCAACTCTCCGTTCCCTACCCACCCCTTCAGGGCTGCCCACGCTCTGCTCCACCCCCTACTCGGAATGGTCGACTCCTGGATACATCTCACCTAGGCTCCTGGTGGGGGGAAGGGAGGGGGATTTTAGATGTCTTTATCGGATTCCAGGGAACCTGCCTGGGTTCTGACACTCCCGGATGCTCCCTGAGAATTCACGGGTTTCCACCTCCCCACTCTGGGATCGCCTCCCTCCTCCTTCAGGTTGCTCCCTCCTCCAGAATGGAGGCCTCCATGGGAAGGAGGGTAAACGCCTGTGTGTTTAAGGGGCGCGGCCGGTCTCCTTGGTCCTGGCCGCCTCCAGCTGGTGACAGGAGGGGCAACCCCGGCTGAGTGCCCCTTCCCCCGCAGCGAGCAGGGGCGACGGAAAGCTGGCGGTGATCTGGCCTCCCCGCAGGAAGGCATCGGAGAACGGCTTGGAGCAGGTGGGAGCCCCCTTTGCCTCTTGCCTCAAGCGCAAGTCGCTCTTCCCTCCCCTCTCCTCCCTCGCCAGGATGCTGGGCCACGGGAAGTGCCCCCCCGCGCCCCCTGGGCAGTTACTCTGGGCTAGGACACAAAGTTCTGGGCAAGGCCCGGGGGTGACAAGGATGCGGTAGTCCCGGGGCCCAAACCGCCCCACCCTGTGTATGAGTGTCACTCCCACGGTGCCCGGGTCTCTGAGGTCGACCCTCCGTCTGGCCTCCTCTCCCCAGGAGGAACGGAAGCCTTGAGGTTTCAGCAGGCTGGGACACCCCGCCAGAGGTAACACGCACATCAGAGGAAAGCGGTCGGGGCGCCAAGGAGTGCCCTCCCAATCCGGGGAAGGCCTGGAGAGGGCCAGCAGTCCGCTCCGGGGAAGATGAAATCGACCAGCCCCCTCCTTGAACCTGACTTTGTGAAATTGACCAGTCTCTTCTATAAAACTATTAGCCCAACGCTGGGAAACACCACCACTCTCAGCCCTGCCGGTGAGACTCTCCAGCCCTTCTCCGCCTAACCGCAAACCGAACTGGCCTCTGCCTCTGGCCTTTACCGTTCGAGTAAACTGCCTCGGCTCCCCTCACTCCCCAATAAAGCCCCTTCTTTCTGGGCAATCTCAGGCTGTTTTCCTCTGGGTCCTCTTCGTTTGGGCGGGGGCGGGAGCGGGAGCTCGTTTGGCGGAGGAAGGCCTGAGAAAACCACAGGAGGTGCCGGCCAGAATTTGGAATGTGCCCTTCACCGCCCAGTTCTGGGGCTGCTGGTCTGCCCCGGCCCGGGTCCTGGTGCCCCCTGGCGGCGCGGGCGCGAACTGCGGTGTTCGGATCAACTAGCTCATGCCCTCCCTTCTTCCGGACTTCGTCAACATTTATTGTGCCAGTGCCAGTGGTATGCCCCGGAGCTGGGCGCTGGCTAGACAGAGGTGATAAGAGGTTGTTCCTGCCCTGGGGACGTAAGCAATAGCTACAAAAGAAAGGGTGGTGGTGGTGAGGGCACAAACTTCTTGGCAGGGCATACAAAGCCTTTTATAATCTGTCCAGCTATTACAAACCTCACATACCTGTAGGCTCCAGACAGATATAAAGGAGAGAAATGGGGTATGCTGGAAAATGCCCGTTTCAATGGGCAGGTAAGTGTTCCTCCATATCAGCAGTGAGTGAGCTTCTGATTTCCAAAAGCAAGGGAGAAACGTAACCTTTAAGAGAGAGATCTAGGGGCGCCTGGGTGTCTCGGTTGAGCATCCGCTGCTTGATTTCGGCTCAGGTCACGATCTCAGGATCGTGGGACCAAGGCCTTCCCCCCACCCCGCCCCCGTTGGGCTCTTCGGTGAGCGTGGAGCCTGCTTAAGATTCTCTCTCTCTCTCTCTCTCTCTCTCTCTGGACGCCTGGGTGGCTCAATCGGTTAAGCGTCCAACTTCGGCTCAGGTCATGATCTCATGGTGGTGGGTTCAAGCCCTACGTCCGGCTCTGTGCTGGCAGCTAGCTCTCTCCCTCTCTTTCTGCTCCTCCCCCACTCATGCTGTCTCTGTCTTTCTCAAAATAAATAAGTAAGCTTTAAAAAATAAAAAAAATTAATGTTTATTTTGAGAGAGAGAGCACAAGTGAGGGAAGAGACAGAGAGAGGGAGACGCAGAATCTGAAGCAGGCTCCAGGCTGTCAGCTGTCAGCTGTCCTCACAGAGCTGATGCGGGCCTGGAATTTGTGAACAACGAGATCATGACCTAAGAAGGTCAGTCGCTCAACTGACTGAGTCACCCAGGTGCCCCTAAATAAATTTAAAGAATGTTTTATTTATTTTTGAGACAGAGTGTGAACACAGGAGAGGCAGAGAGAGAGGGGAACAGAAGATCTGAAATGGGCTCTGTGCTGACAGCAGACAGCCTGATACAGGGCTCAAACTCACAAACTGAGATCATGACCTAAACTGAAGTCAGACGTTTAACGAACTGGGCCACCCAGGTGCCCCTAAATAAGTAAACTTTAAAAACAAAAAAGAAAAAAAATCTAAGGAACTTTAATGTGACTACTTAGAAACATTTTAAAATGGCGGTGTGGGCACAGGAATGGCCACAAGGGACACCTGTTTGTAGTAGAGCCTGTAATTGTCAATTGCCAAGCCCTCCTTAAATTTCTCTCCCGAGCCAGGGGGCTCAAGGGTCCTCGCCCCTGATGGGGTTCAAGAGTTTGTGGACACCCCACGTTGAAAAAGTGTATCTTTGCAGTTATAGACAGTGGGTTTAGGGTATCAGCTTCTTACCCATGCACTGAGACCCAGAAGACCCAGGAATGATTCAAAATCATTGTTTAACCTCTTGGATTTGTCCAACTCTGTATGCCTTGGGTCCAGCCACAGACTTGATTCTACACAGGACAAGTAGGTAATGAAGAACGAAAGAATGCGCACACAGCTTTGCACCCCAAGAAGGAACCGCCCGCTGATTCCATCATCACCACACTGAGCACATGCTTCATTCTCCGAAAGGTCTGGAGAGAAAACAAAGAGCGAGTGCTGCCAAGGTGGGATATGGAAACACCCAGAGCTTGTTTAAAAAAACATTTTTCTTAAGTTTATTTATTTCAAGGGGTGGGGGGCAAAGAGAGAAGGAGAGAGAGACTCCCAAGCAGGCTCGGCACTGTCAGCGAAGAGCTGGACATGGGGCTGGAACTCACGAACTGCAAGACCGTGACCTGAGCCGAAAGCCAGAGTCACATGCTCAACCGACTGAGCCGCCCAGGTGGCCCAGCATCTGTATTTTTTACAGGTGGAGCCAAGTTTGAGGACCATCATGTCGATGTTTGCTAGCAGTTCTCAAAGTGTGGTGCCTGGACCAGCAGCATCAGGGTGGCTTGGGATCTTGTCACAAACACACCTTCTTGGGCTCCAGGCCAGACTTAAGAATTGAACCCACCACATGATTCCACACTGAAGTTCGAGAATCATGCATATAGATAGTTCATGAGGAACAGGATTCAGGAAATTGAGCCTGTTTCTTTCCTCTCCCAGGACTGCCACCTCGCACCAGAAAACTTCAGTCTTTTTTTTTTTTTTAATGTTTATTTTTTTGAGAGAGAGATCAAGCGAGCTTGAGCGGGGAGTGCAGAGACAGGGAGAGACAGAATCTAAAGCAGGCTCCAGGCTCCAAGCTGTCAGCACGTAGCCCAATGCAGGGCTTCAACTCCGGGACTGAGAGATCATGACCTGAGCCAAAGTCGGACACTTAACCGACTGAGCCACCCAGGTGCCCCCAGAAACCTTCGGTCTTAAGTGGCCTGTGGATTTGCCTTAAGGGAGACAATCTAAAGCTATGTGTGGCTGGTCTGAGTTGAAATTTGCTCTAAGTATGAAATACACACCAGATTCCAAAAACTTAGTACCCCAGAAAGAGAAATATTAATAATTTCTTTCATTGATTAGCTGTTGAAATATTTTGTGTATGTGTGTAATTCACAAAGACTAACTTAAATCAGTATTAGGCAGCTTCAGAATCCCCTTGAATTCATTCAGACCAAAAAAATCCTTGATGAAGTCAGAAATTGTCACCAGAAGCCGCTTCCCCCGCCCCTCCCCCAAAAGATAAAAGGTTTTGCCGTCCAATCCTGATTTATTTTACCTCTCACGTCCGTTTTTGTCATTGAAACTGGTGCTTACAATACTATATGCCTTTGTGCCTGAGTTTCAGGTAAGCGACTGCTTTGCTCAAAAGCATAAACGCTAGGACTCTCTTTCGATTCCAAAAATGTTACAAGAAATGAAAAGGCAGCCCTTACAGGGGGTTACCGGCAGATAAGTAACACCGGGGTCAGGAAGGGCACCCTTCCCTTCGCAAGGGACCAGCTGAGAGCAGAAAGACCCGGTACGGGATGGAGCTCCACCACTCGCGCGCTGTGGCTTTTGAATAGGTGAGCTCGCCTCTCTCAACCCGGGACTCCCTTTCCAGTCCAAGGTTGGAGTGGAGCTTAGCGATCCCAAATTGGAGTTCCTTGCGGCTCTGCCATCCCGCGCGCGCCCCGGACACCCTGCGAAGTAAGATGACCTGCCCACTCCATGACCCAAAAGCTGGAAGCGGAAGATTTGATTCTGGCCTTTAGGAAACTGACCACGGGCCCTTTGCTGGTGCACATCGGGAAATACAGTCTTTTCGGTAAAAAGAAGTCACTTCCGGGTCAAAATATGAGAGTGGGCGTGGCCCCGAGTCCCTTCCCCCATTGGGCGTTGAATTTCCCGGCTACCCAAAACTTGAGGTTTTTTGGGTTCCGGTTGTTGACAGGCACTGCTTACTTCCCCTTTAGCTTCATGCGCGCCTCTGCGCATGCCCTGAGAGCTGGTCCGCCAGTCAGGGGACTCTGGTTTTGTTTCAAAGACTACAGTTCCCAGAAGGGCGCGCAGGTGGGCGGGGCTTCCTCGCCCCAAGGGGTGGGGCGCGGCGCTCCGAACGGACGCTGAGCCTGTGACCTCTTTCTTTTCTTTTATTTAACGCAAAACTGGTGTGTCCGCACGCAGGGCTCCGCGGCCGGGTCGGACCCGGTGCGCACGGGCCAGCTTGGCCTGGCCCCTGGGAAGGCGAGTCCGAGGTGCACTAGGAGAACGAGTGAGCCCCTCCCCTGCTCCCTCTCCTGGAGTTTGGAACTGTCAAGCTCCAGCTCCCACCCTCTCTCCAGGTTCAAGACCCCTGCGCGGCCCATGCCGCGGGCCCGGCCGCGCTCGGGGGCCGGGCTGGGCCTCCTTGGCCCGTGAGGATCTGCACCAGCAGGTCGGTGGCCAGCATGTGCGAGGGCTCCTCGAAGCCGATGGTCAGCAGCTGCTGGTAGTCCCCCGGCGGCTGCGGGCACAAAATCCTGGGGGCCGGGGCAGACAGGCCTAGACGTGAGCGCCCCCTGCTTCTCGGGAGCCCCTCCCCTCGAGTGAGAGGCTGTGGCTGAAAGGGGCTTTGTTTCAGCTGGGGGTGGGAAAAACCCTGGGGGTGGGGGTGGGGGTAAGTGGTTTCCTTGTTGGTGAGAATCGGCGAGCAAGTGTAATGGCTCTGGGAGGCTGAACAACTCTAGCCCTGACCTGGCCTATCACTCAGCTAACCTTAGCTGTGTGTCCATGGGCAGGTAACTTAACCTCTCTGAGCACCTGTTTCCTTCTTTCTAAAATGGGGCTGGTAGTGGAGACCTCAATGGGTTGTTACACAAGTCTGCATAAAGCACTTTTCAGGGCACAATAAAATGCTATCCTTGTTACCAAGGGAAACGATGTTGGGGGGAGTGGATGGTCTCTGGTGCGGTTCTGCCCCTCCCTCCAGGGCCCAAGCCCACCTTGCCATCCTTAGTTCCTACCATGAATAAAGGTCATCCTCAGCTGGTCCTAGCGGCACCCATCGGCCAATGGACCACAGCTTCTGGATCTGGGGGCACGAATTGGCACGAGTCTTGCCAGTGTCTTCCCATGTATCTCGGTAGCAGAGGAAGTAGCTGGGAGGGCAGGAGGGGATCAATTCAGAATGAGCCGTTTCCTCGCTTCTTTAGTTGAAGGCTCTGAATTGGGGCGGGAGGGGGGGAGGGGAGGGGGAAACTCATCAGAATTTGCCCTCAAGTTCTCTGGTAGGGCTGCGGCTTCAAAGGGAGGCCTTTTCTCCTTGCCAGCCTACTTTTAAGATGAGGACTTCTATTTTAATGGGAGGGTGAATTTTTTTTTTTTTTTAAAGGGGGGGATGGCCTTTCAAAGATCTTTGGTTTCCTGCCTGGCTTTCCATGCTGTGGTGGTGGTGGTGGCGGCGGCGGCGGTTCAGAGGCCCACACTGGCATTCTGCACAGAGAGGGGAGAACTTTCATTCTGTTAGGGGACTCACTAATCCACGTGGGAATCTTGTCCCCTGCCACTGGGCTCTGGGGTGGTTTCCAGATTCCAGCGCATCTTCTTATAGAGGTATCGGGGGAAGCGGCTGGCGGTGTAGGCGGCTGGGGCACAGTATCTGAACATGGACACCTCGTGGGAAGGGCTGATGGAGAACCTCCCGCAGAAGAAACAGGAGATGCTGGTAGGAGACAGGACAGTGGGAAATAAGGCTGGGCTCTGGACTCCACCCTCTCCCCACCCCCATTCCGGGTCTCCTACCCTTGTATTACCTTAGGGGGTCAGTCTCTTCCAGGTCCACAAACCCAAAGGAGGCATACATGAGGACCAGCTGTTCTAGGCGTAGGGTCAGCTGTTGGGAGATCTCCAACAGCTGCATGGGAGAGGGGGCATCAGGAGATTTGCTGGCCTGCCAGGATCGCTCTCCCCCCACTACCATCTCCCAACACCCCCCCCCAGGATGAAGAAAGGGACATAGGGTCTAGGAAAACTGTTCCACGCACCCCCTTTCGGACCAGCTCCTGCAGGGCTCCATAGATGGGGGGCACACTCCGCGCGGCTGCCTCCAGGTAGAGAAAGTAGGGCTCGCACATCTGTAGGAAGGTGGGCATAGCCTTTGCCAGCTGTTCCTTCTGCACTCGGTCCCTGCTAAAGGGAGAAGGTGGCCTTTGGCTGGGGTCCCTCCCTCCCCATTGCCTCCTCCCTGCCAACCAGTATTCTTGGCCTGGACCTCCCGTGCTAGGTATCTTCCAGGACTATTTGCATCAAAACCATTTGGAACACTTGAATTCTACAATTGACTTTCACTCAAAATTTCCTGTAGGGAGGAGCCCAGAAATCTAGGGTTTAAACAGCCTCCCGGAGGAGGATTCCAATGGTTCCTGAAATGAGAGAATGACAGTCTCTCCCCCCCTCCCCCCGGGGCTGGGAATCACATTATCCTTTGGGGGTCCCACACTGGTAATCAGAGGGTCAAATCTGGCACAGACTGGGTTTTGTTTAGCCTGCCCAGGGTTCAAGATGTGAGCCAACAGAAACGTCCTTGCGAATCGCAACCCGTGGGGGCCACGTCATAGCAGGCGCTCTCTAACCCCCGATTTCTACACAGCCCTTCTCACTCTTCGAAAATTGGAGGCCCACTCAACTAGCTTCATTTACGGTCTCTGGCTCCTAACGCTTTAGAGTTTGCGAACCTAGCGTGCCTTGCCTGCCCTGTTTTTCTCCGCAGTCTCCTTCCCAGGGACATAGGACCCCACCCAGCATCACCTGTAAAGTAAGTAGCTCTGGAAGTCATCTGCCTTCTTGAGCAGGTAGCGGAGCTGTTCGGTGATGGGGCTGAACATGGTGTCCAAGGGTAGGCGAGGAGGGGCGGGCCCTGGGCCCGGGGCCAGAGGCTCGGGGGAAGGGGTAGCGGTAGAGGCCTCGGGGAGCTGCCCCTGGACGTCCACCGGTTCGGCCTCGGGTGGGTCCCCAGGTGCGCCAGGGGACGCCAACCAGGAGTGGTCTCCGCCGGGCTGTGCCCCAGGTTCCAAGTCGGCCGGGGGCGGTGTCTCCCCAGGGCCCGGGGGGAGCGGCTCCAGGAACCACTGCTCGGTAGCCATCGTGGGGCCGCAGGAGGGGAACGCAGCTCTTTAAGCCTCCGCCGCTCTCGTTGGTCGCGGGTCTGACCCCGCCCCGGGAACCTCGGACTTGCCCGGACGAGGAGCGCAGCTGCCCCTCCAACTCGCCCCTGCCTCGACCTCTCTGCCGGCGCAGCGCCGCGCGGAGGGAGTTCGCCTCGTTTGAATTTCGACACGCGGGAGGGGCGCGCCGCTCCGGTCCGCGGTGCGCGCCCGCGGGGCCCCGCGCACTCACGCGCGCTCCCGGAACCTGGCTGGGGGGACGCGTCCAAGAAAGGCGACCTGGGCCAGTCCCGGTGCGGCCATGTCCCGGGGTGTGGCTTGGGGGCCAGCGCCCATCTCTCTCCCAATCGGTTTCCTGGGGAAGAGGGGTCTTTAGCGAGCGTCGAAACCCAGGGAGCAGGTACATAAAGCAAGGAAGCCCAGGCCTCTAAAAGTCTGACTCTGGCCCCAGAATCTGTATATTTTTAAAAAAGCCCAAAAAACTCTAATGGAGTTGAGAAACTGCATTAGAACTTAGTGGGCATTGTGATGTAAGTGGCTGTTTTCTACTGAGAGCAATGCTGAAAATCTTCACTTGGAAAAATGTGCCTGTCCCATGATCTCATCGTCCCTTCGGTTCCTCTTACTGGTGAGGACCGTAAAGCCTGGAGGCCGTGCCGTGGCCCCAGAACCGTCCCCTGCCCCCATAGTTATAGATTGAATTTTTGGTGGTGTGCAAAGGCTGACTACATACGGATATAAAGGCAAATTCATTAATTACCCTTAAAAAGACTCCGGGTAAAGAGCTCAGACAGGTGTCTGACCCCACCCGGTGTGACCCTGAGCAAGCATCTTTGCTGTGCTGAGCCAGCTGCGTCCTCTGGAAAGTGGGTTGTTATGAGCTCGCTGCCTCATTGGGCTGGGGAAAGAGCAACCGAGAAAACGCTCATAAAACCTAGTTAACTGCTGGTCCCTCAACAAGTATTTGAGCACCTACTGTGTGCCTGAGCATTCTTCTGAGCATGGGGACAGAACCAGGCAAACATGCCTGACCTCCTGGAGTACTTGGTGTTCTATCTGGATGTGAGGCAGCCCCATGCACTACCTGTCTTCCTCCTTCAACAATTCTGTCTTAGCCTATAGACTCTTCCTGGAGGCCCGTGTGCGCTGCACACCCCTCCCCCACTCCATTCATGAAATGAACTCCTGGCATTTTTTTTTTTAAAACTTTATTTAAAAAACCTTCGGTGCAATATTAAAAAGCAATACAGCCAGCTGGAGCGACAACCAACAGAAAGGAAGGAGAAGGGTTAGGGAAGACCCAGGGGCCCCACCCCAGCTATTCCCAGGGGCAGTCCGGGATGGGGCGTGGGTGGTGGGGGAGAGAGGAGAGGCCACCCACCGAAATGAACAGGCAGAACAAAACATTTATATAGGAAACATCTGGCTGAACTGAAGAGGACCTAGGGGAGATGGGAAGCCCCCATTTTTTCTTTTTTCTCCAAAAATGTCCTAGACCTGGGGTGGGGAAGGTTGGCTTCCTGGGGTGAAATGAGCAGGCCCTGTCTCACCCCACACTCCTCTATCATGGAGTACAGGATGTGCTGGGGGCCAAATAGATGTATGCTGGGGAAACACAGGGAAGAGATGAGTGGGGAGAAATACCCCCTCACTGGAATCTGTTAGGAGGGCTGAGAGCATATCCCCACCCAGCTCCTGGATTCTGGGGGGGGAGGGTCTTGGGTGAGACGGGGGCCGGAATGGGTCGGGGCAGGGGGGGAGGCTGGGTGCTCAGCCTAGAAAGCCATCGGGGTCGTCATCCTCAAAGTGGCCTTGCTGCAGCACCTTGATGTGGTGCTCGTAGATTTTCAGGGCTGGGCCCAGGCGGATGGACAGGCCAGTCAGCACATCTGTCCGCTGCATGAGCAGCAAAGACTTTCCATCGATTTCCTGAGTGGGACAGACAGACGGACAGCAGAGTCAGAGCAGACCCCGCCCCCCTCTCCTCCCCGCCCCCAGGGATCCAGAGGGGGTACTGAGGGCTGGGAATTCACCTGCTCTTGGAAAGCCGTTGCCTGCTCGGGGAAGCCAGCCTCAGTGAAGTACTCGACCACGTCCATCACGGTCCACTCCACAGGGTCAGCCGGCTTCTCTTTGCGCCCGGAACTGGAGCAGAACAGGGGGGGATCCAGTGAGCAGCGACACGCCTCTGGTTCTATTACACATGCGCAGGCAACACCCCCATGGCTCAAATACCCCAACTTACGGACAGCCGAAGGGGGTCCCATCAGCCCCGGGGAGGGCTGGTTTTCCTGGGGGCAAAGGCACAGGGGATGGGGAGTCTGGCCCAGTGGCAGCAGAGGCTGGGAAAGAAAAAGCATATGCCTGTGGCTTTGTCGTGGGGCTCAGCTCCGGCCCGTCACAAAACCTTCCCCAACTCAGAGAGGTTCCTTACCTGATCCCCCTTCCTTATTCATGGCTGCCATGGAGAATATTTGGCGGGTACCACTGCCTGGTGCTGGCCCCCGGCCTTCATCCTGGCCCTGGTGGGGTCCACAGGGTGTCCACTCCTTGACCCTCTCCTTGGCACTCTGAGGGCCTCGCTCGCCATTAAGCTGGTGGTGCTGGGCACCTGCTGGACGGTCACCCTCGGGCACCTCCGAGCCCTCGGACACATCGTCTTCATCGTCTTCCTCTTCGTCATCGTCTTCCTCTTCTTCTTTCTCAAGCACTCGCTCTTCTCCACCTCTCTGGTGCCAGGGAGAGAGGCAGGAAAGGTTAGTAGCCGTTCTGACCCTCCGCCCAGTCCCTGTGATCCGGGACCGAGTGGTGTGCTTCCCACCCACCTTTAACATCAACACGGACTAACTTTTACGCGTTCGGTCCGTGCCAGGCTCTGTGTTAATAAAGCCCTTAGTAGCCAAATCTCACTAAACTCGCTCAACAACCTCAAGGGGTCGCTACTGCTATTAAATCGCGTTTTACAAGCAGAGGAAACTGAGGCTCGGGAAGATTAAGTCACTTGCCAAGGTCACCACGCGCCGAACCCGCAGGGAAGACGCGAAAAGCCAAGGCCGCCCGCCACCCGGTTCCTCCCGGGACTCGCGCCCCGCCACCAACTTCGCCCGCACCTGCCTACAGCGCAGCACCCCCCCCGCCCCCGAGTCCCCGGCGCGCTCACCTTGCTCCGCGACGCGCGGGCGCTGGCGGCCGGCGGCGCCCGTCCGGGCCTGTCCCCGCGGGGCAGCGCGAGCGCTCCGAGGCGGGTGCGCTCCAGGCGGCCCCGCGCTGCCGCCTCTTCCTCCAGCAACCCCTGCACGCGGCCGCGGGTCAGGCGGCCGCCGGCGCCGCCGCTGCCCCCGAGGTAGCGCACGACTTCCCGCAGGCTCACGGGCCGCGCCGGGCCGCCGGCCCGCGCCGCGCCCCCCTCCGGCGGCTGCTGTGGCTGCGGCGGCGGCGGCTGCTGCTGCTGCTGTGGCGGCGCCGGCGGCTGTGGCGGCGGCGGCAGCGGCGGCTCCCGGGCGGCGACGGCGGGCGGGGGGGCGCGGCGCGGGCCGGCCGGGGGCGCCACTGCCGGAGGAGCGGCGGGCGCGGGCGGCGGCGCGGCCAGGGGCGCGGCCCGCTGCGCGCGGGGGCCCGGCTGCGCGGGGCCGGGCGAGGGGGGCGCTGTGGCGGCGGCAGCGGCGGCCGCGCGGGGCGCCCGGGCCGGGGCGGCGGCGGCGACGGGCGCGGGCGGTGGCGGCGGGGCGGGCGTGGGCGGCGGCGCGGCGGCGGCGGCGGCGGCGGGGCCCCCGCGGGGGGCGCGCGGCGGGGCCGGCGGGGTGGCTCCGCGCCGGGGCGGCTGGACGCGCGCCGCGTTGCGGTACGAGATGCTCCCCTTGTAGCTGACCCGGAGCACGGCGCGCTGCTGGATCAGTTTCTCGAGCTCGGCGCGCGTGCGCTCCGGCTCCGGGCCGTGCCGCCGCCGCACCATCCGGCAGATGCGCTCCAGGTCCGGCCGCGCCTTGCGCGAGCGCAGCGAGTCGATGGTGTCCAGGATCCACTCTTGGTAGTGCGGGGAAGCGGCGGACGACGAGGCAGCGGCCGCCGTGGTGGCGGCCGCCGCCGTCTCCGGCGGGGGTAGGGCCGGGGGCCCCGCCATGCCTCCCGCCCGGCCCGGCTGCACCGTGCGCGCTGCCTCCCTCCCAGCGCGGCGCCCCCCTCCCCGGCTCCCCTCCCTCCGCCGCTGCCCGCCTCCTCCGCCTCCCCCCCCGGGGGGCGCAGCGCCTCGGCGGAGCGGCGGCGGCGCTGCTGTTTCTTTGCAAAAAAAAAAAAAAAAAAAAAGCGAGAGAGAGAGAGAGGGAGCGGGAGAGAGAAAAAACAGTGAGAGAGAAAGAAAAGAGAGAAAAAAAATATGCACACACTCACTCACTCGCACGCACGCACACACAGACCCGCTTCTGCTGGGCGCGCGCGGGGCCGGGGATGCGAGGAGGGAGGAGGGGAGCGCGGCGCGGCCGGCCCCTCCCCGCCGCCGCCGCCGCCGCACGCGCGCCCTGCGCCCGGGACACTCCGGCCCCCCTTCCTTCCCTCCCTCCCTCCTCCCCGCCGCCCGCCTTCCTCCCTCCCACCCCCACGCGCCCGCTTTTAAGGTGGAGCTCGGGCCCCCCGCCCGCCCCCTTTACCCTGCGCTCTCGCTCACTCTGGCTCGCTCCGGCCCCCCCTTACAACTCCCGCGCGCTTTTTAAGGAGGCGCCGTGGAGTTGGCGCCGGGGCGGGGGCGGGGGAAAGCGGCGGGCGGGGGAGGGGGAGGGGAGCGCCGGGGGGAGGGGAGAGGGGGCGGGCGGGGCGGGCGGGCGGCGCTCGGCCGCCCTCCAGCCATTGGGCGCGGGACCCAGACGTCCCCGGCGCCCAGCCCCCCTCTCCACGCCTCCCCGGCGCGCTCCGCTCTCGGGACCGCACTTACCGGGAACTCGCCGCCCGCGGGCCGGGCCGCTGCGCTTGCCGGGCGCCGCGGGGACCCTCGGACTGTCGCCGCCCCCGCGCCCCAACGGCGCGCTTGGCCCCGCGCTGCGCGCCGAGGATGCGGGGAGGGGGGCGCGCACCGTCTCCCCCACCCATTACACCCCCCCCCCGCCGGGGACGCCCCCGCCGCCGCTCGGCCTCCCGGCGCGCCGGCCCCAGCGTCTCCCTAGAGCGCCCTCTCGGCCGGGGGCTGGACGCCGAGGGGGCGCGCCGTAGATTCGGGGACCCCGAATCCAGGGTCAAAGGGCAGTTTGGCGCCCCCTTCTCCTGCAGGGCGGGGTAGTGGCGGAATTCCGGCTAAACCCGGTTTTACAAAGACTCCAGGCCAGGTCCCGATCAGCCTGGACGTTGGGGTCCGAAAAGGTCTTTCCAAACCCCTGGGGGTGTGTGGGTGGGTGACCGAAGTCGGGAACACCAGCGACACTTTTTTTTAAACAAAACTTTATTGGTAATAGTTTTCAAATATGTTTACAACAGCACACTGTTCAAGAGGAAGTCGCGTCCTTCGCAGCACACAGGTTGAATCGCCCCCGCGCCCACCCGGGGCCCCACCCTAGGCCTGAGAGCTCCTCCTGGATGGGGAGAAGTTACGAGAGAGACAGATATGGGGATGAATGGGGTGGCTCCCCAGCGACTCCCCACTTTTCTGTTAGAGAAGAAAGCACAAATGGGGGGGGAGAGTGATGGACAGCTGACAGCTAAGCAGAGGAAGAGCGCCCAGGTTGGGGGGAGGGGGGGCGGAGGCTGCTAAGTGAATAAAACCGGCAGCCCCTCCCCAGCAACCCTGGCCTTGAACCTGGGGCCACAAGGGGGAGGAGGGCTTTGCCTTCTTTTGCGGGGGTTGCCTTCCCAACTGAGCTGAGAGGAGGCTGGGCATTAAAATCTAGCTGAGAATAAAATTAAGGAATTTGGGGGAAGTGCTGGTGGGAGGAAAGACCCTGGGGTTGGGACTCCCCTTCTATCTTTTTGGGGGGCAACTCCTCTTTGGCAGGGAGCGGGGCAGCTGCTTTCTTTGTCTCGGTCCCGAAGCCCAAGGGTGAAGAAAGGTCTGTTGGGGGCAGAAGGGGAAGGGGCTTCCTAAAGGGGCTGAGACCCTTCCAGGCTTGGCAGGGGACCCCCACCTCGAGGGGGGGGGTAGTGGGCAGAGGAGCAGAGGAGATTAGCAGCTTGGGGCGGAGGTTTGAACCCCAGCTCCTTCCTTTACAAATTCAGTCTGCTTCTCAGCCTTGTTAAAATGGATTTGGGAAGTGGGGGGAGGCATGGAAGGGGTAAGGGTAGAGGAAGGAGGGAGGGAGGCACTGGTGGAACTTAAATAAGATTCTACTTTTTTTTTTTTTTTTTTTAATTCTGGTAAGCAGCCCACTGAACAGGTCACTAAAATCTCTCCTTTCCTTGCTCTGAAGAGAAGGCTGGCCTTTCCTTCATTTGCCATTAGTGGGTGATGCCTATGGTTCAGGGGGATGGGGATGGACTTAAGTTTGGGCCCATCTTTGCACACCCTGTCCCTGAATACGCCAGCAAGACATGGTCTGACTGGAACTCAGAAACTCATTTAAAACAGGTAGAACCGGGCTGGTTGGGGGTGGGGGGACTTTAGAGGAGGAGGAAGGCAAAAGCGGTCAGGTTGGGGGGAGGCAGGAGGGTAAGGGGCTGAGGGGGAGCAGCTGGTGTTTCCATCCCTCCGTATTTCTGGGCTTCCTGCTCCCCCGACCCTGGAGGGTGGGGTGGGGGTGAAATTAGATGCAAGGAACTCTGGGGCCCTCTGGCTGTTCAATCCAACCCTCCCACCCACCCCCCACCAAAAAAAAAAAAAAAAAGAAAGAAAGAAAGAAAGAAAACCCATGGGGGCACAGGCACACCCCTAAAACTCAGTAAACTCCTTGCCACACTTCTCATTGATGGAGACTCGGATCTCTTCCTCCTCATAGTCGTCAAAATTACTCGTGTCCCCAGGGCCTTTAAACTTTGGTATGAAGGGAGCTTCCACCTGGAGAGGGGTTAAGAACCACCCAGACCTCAGTAGTCAACATAATCATCCTTACAACAATAAATGCAAATGGCCTAACATTTGTGAGATAACTTACTCTGACCCAGGCCTGAGTTTAGCATTAGGCTGTGAACTCACCATTAACCTAAGAATCTCATTACAGCCGACTCACCGGAGGGGTGTCTCCTGCCTAAGGTCACAGAGTGGCCAAATGACCCCACAATCCCATTTCTAGACCCCCTCACTGCTCTAAGATGTCTCAGCTCGGCTGACTCAGAGCCTGCGGCCTCTTTTCAAATGCCACTTCCCTTTCCATCTCTCCATTGGCACCCCTCTCTGGCTTACAGCCTCCTCCCCAAACCCTCAGTGCGCTGTGGAGTGGGGGGGGGGGGCATGTGGCACGGGGAAGGAGGCGGCCCACCTTCCTCTGGTAGATGGCAATCCAGTCAGTTGTGGCAAACCACTTGTGGTTCTTGATATCGTTGACCCCATTCTTGAGATTCCCGAAGCGTTTGGTGAGGTCCACCTGCAACAGGTTCCGCAGCAGATCCTTCAGGTCGGAGCTGAAGTGGGATGGGAACCGTACCTGGAGAGAGGGGGTTAACGCAGACAGGATGGGGAAGTTGTCTGGAGCTTGGGGAGCCCCGAAGGCAGCCTTTGCTGCCTCATAGGTCTACCAGGTAGAGGGCCCCCAATTTGAGGGTGCCTCAGAAACCCATTGTAACAGTTTGTTGGGCCCAGTGGAGTTTGATTCAGGAGGTCTGAGTGGGGCCTGAGAAACCAGATACCTGGCCAGTTCCTCAGCCAGGCCAATACGCAGGGGGCCACTTTAAGAACTGCTGCTCTTAGGTAAATGCTATGATGCTTCTCATTTTAGAGAAGAGGAAACAGGCTCAGAGGGGTTAAACAGCCTGCCTGAGGTCACACAGAGGAGCGGGACGGGGGTCTTGAGTCTTGGGTCTGTTGGGAGTCCAGAACTTGCATTCTTAGCTACGGCTTCCTAAGGCACCTCTATGGGGGTCCGGGGACTTCTGAAATATTCATGGTTAGGAGAGAAACGATTGTTTTTCTGAGTCCCCCTCTCTCCACTGACTGACTCTTCTCTTTAAGGTCCAGTTTAACTCTTCCAGAAACGTCCCCAAATGCTGTGAGCCCAAACTTTGTTTGCAAGTAGTTACTGGATTTGTAGCTACAAGAAGGGACTTTCAGCAATGCTCTACATTTTACATGCTGTGTGACCTTGGCCATGGGCCTTAACCTCTCTGGGCCTGCGCCTGCCTCTCTGGCACGAGGCAGATATCCCAGAGTTGCATGAGGGAGATAATACCGCCGAGGGTGCGTGGGAACTGTAAAATGCTACAAAGAAGGGAGTTATGCTCATCTTCTCCTCTTCCCCCCTCAGAAGTGCCTGCAGTTTTCTTTTTTTTCTTTCCCCACTTTGGGCCATTTCCCTTGCCATTTCTATTCTGCCTGGTGGCAGACACCTCATCTTTCCCGTTTTAGTGACCCCACCTTGCAGCTGATTTCTTTCTCTGAGAGGCAGGTGTCTGGGCCCCCCATTCTCCTGTGAGTAAGAGGAGGTTAAGAGGGGTGAAGGCACTTGCCCGAGGTTTCAGAGCCAGTGGGAGGCAGAGCTGGGACTTGGAGCCAGGTCGGCAGCCCCAGGCTGAGCTGCTCCCATTTAGTTCCTGGGCCAGATAGAAAGATGGCTGGGTCCCCCCAGCAAGGTAGTGAGCTGAGGGCAGAGGTGGGGTTCCCAAGCTATCTCGAGACCTGGGGGCCTCTGATGATGCCGGGGGAAGGGGGTGGTCCCAGGGCAGACACTTCCCATTTCCAAGCCTGAGGCTCATCACTCCTTCAAAGTGCTGGGGTAGAGCCGTGGGGGTGCATCGTGGGGTGGTGGGCATGTATCACCGCACCGCGTAACCGCTCTGTCCCTCCACCTGCACCCTGAGAGTTAGCCTGCGTTTGGGGTAGAAGGCGTGGGCCGCAGACCCCAAGTGACCCCCGCAGGGTCTGGAGGGGCACGTGGGAACCCCACACGGTCTCTTTGCTACTGTGCAGGCTCAGTGGGGCGACTGGAAGTGAGCAGAGAGCCTCCTGCTGGGCTGGAGAGGTGATCAGGCGAGGCCCGGGATTCTGGAAGCCCTTGAAGTTTGAGGGGTGGGTCCCAGGTTAGATGGGGGGTCGCATGAGGTGCTGGCCTGTTAACATGGCTGCTGCACCCAACTTCATCGCTTGGCCTGCCTCAGTGAACTTCCAGATGGTTCTGGCAATAAGAAGGGCTCTGTGGTGAGCGGAACTAGTGGGGAGGGTCTGTCAGGGGGCTTAGCTGCTGTTCCCTAGGCCTCACCTTCCCGGAGACAATCTTCTCGTAGATCTGGATGGGCTGGTCAGCGAAGAAAGGCGGGTAGCCAGCGGCCATCTCATAGATGAGAACCCCTAGAGCCCACCAGTCCACAGCCTTGTTGTAACCCTACAGTGAGGGGGGTACAGTGTGAGGAGAGGAGGGCAGGGAGGGGGCGCCGGGGGGGTGGGCCTTGGGGCAGTGGGGTGGGCGGGATGGTGCCTACTTTGCTGAGGATGATCTCCGGGGCCAGGTACTCAGGGGTCCCGCATAAGGTCCAGGTGCGGCCTTTTACACGCTTGGCAAAACCGAAGTCCGTCACCTGCGGGCACAAGAACGGGCTATTGGCCAGGAAGGAAGGAGGGAGGGTGGGTCCAGCCTTCAGCCGCCCGGGGCCTGCCC